TGCCTTTCTCTATCGTGGGAGCGGCGTGCAGCGGCAGGCAGACCGGGACAGACCAGGCCCCGAAGGCTGCTGCTGCTGCTGCTGCTGTGGACAACGCATCAAGCACTACGACCACCGCACGCGCGCTCCGGCCGCAGAAGCAGATGCGGACTGGACGCAGCGAACCTTGACGGCGAGCCATGCACACCATGAACCAACGGATTCCAGCCTGCGGCTTCTCGCCCTGTCTACACGCCCGCCTCGCATTTCATTCAAAACGTCATGTATGCGGTGTATGCATGCCCCTCCTCTCTCTTTCCGAGGGGAATTTCCAGAAGAGCTGCCGTGCAGTGCAGATATCATTCTCGCCCCTCCTTGAAGCCCACCCTGTTGATGATACGACCTATCGGGAGGAGGAGGGTTTCTGCAACAACGGCGGAAAGGGGGCCAGGAGCGGGAGGGGCAGAAGTTGTGGTTAATGTTGATTCTTCAATTTTTGGCCTGCATTGTCTTTCTGCCAATTCGCGAATCGTGTAGCGAAACTGGGAAAAGGGTTTCGGGGGCCAGGGGAGGGAGCGGATCTGGTGGTCATGCAGTCGTTGACTGGTCCGATTTCCGTGGATGACAGCTGGCCAATGGCGGGGGGGAATCATCAGATGGCATCCGGGATAGGATGATTGTTCGTGTCTGTGATTGCGATGCTGCGATGATCCGAATCGAATCACGGTAGGCGGCCTCGGGGGGCGATAGGTTCTTCGTCGCATCGATATTGACGATGAATCATCACCTGACATGTGAAGTTTACACAAGAAACATCCCCTCCTGTCTCGACAAGATAGTGGCCCCGGCAACCCGTCGGCCGCCGGGACAGATATGAGTCAAAGATGCCCATCGCCTGCGCGGACTTTTGCACACAAGCCACGTCCCGTGACGGACTTGCACGGCGACATCGCCCAAAGAAGCATACTTAGACCGCGCAGCCTCGAAGACGAATGTCGTCGGGATAGCCACGCGTAACCTCCGCTCCGTCCTCACACCAGACGCCACACCCGAACGGTTGCTACCCACACTGCTCAAAAGCCAAGCGCAGCTTCGGTGTGGCGCAGATCCATGTCTCAATCGATGGGAAATGTGAAGTGTGGCACAGTTTCGAGGGGAAACTGGCCAATGGTTCGCGGTGCGACCGCGGGGAAGCCCGGATTCGCCACTCGAGAAACGCCCGGATCTCCCGCTCGGTCCCGGGCTTTCGGGTCCCCCTTGAAGAAGGGAAAAAAAGCAACGGCGGAGGGAAGTCTGTCCGGACCTCACCACCCACTAGGTCACCCCGACCCGACCAATCCGAGCAGCGGGTATGACTCTTTTGTTTTCTCCGCCGTTCGAAGCGTCTTTGACAAATCCCACCAGGCGCGTTTTTCCCAACGGGTTTTTGCTTCAGAGAGAGACTTTCAATCAATGTACCGGCTTATTTGCACACCCAGCTCAAGCCTTGTACCTCGTCTTCTCTTGCGCCGGTACCCTGAAAAGTTGGCCACTTTTTCGCAATTCACTATCGCTTATGACGCAAACGCGCTGCAGGCGTGCAGGCCGCCTGCAAGGTTGGTTGGGTGGTGTGTGGCTGTCGGCCTTAGGCTTGAATGCGCCGGGCGCATGCGATCTGGGCTCACCCTTTTTTCCTCGGTCCCTCCCTCTCTCACCCGCGACCAGCAGGCTGCTTGTTACACCGTTTTCTTTTGCTGACAATTTTTATTGCACTTTTTCCGTTGTTGCATCTGCCCGCATGCGTGTTTTAGTTCCCGCCGCAACCTCGTGGCCTGGTAAGGCTTTGGGCAGCAAAAATAAGGCAGGCTGGGCCAACAAGCCCAGAGAGGTAGATACGCAGGGTCGCAAGCCGCAGCAGCAGCAGGGTGCAGGATTGTTGCATCCGCGGACACACGCACACACACACACACACACACAGACTGCCAACTCACCACCCGATTGCAAATTTTCAAGACTCTTGCACGATCTGGAGGGGGCCTAGATCTTGCCTTGCTGACAATTACATGACAGAAGGACTGCTGGCAGGTTTCCGTGTTGTTCAAGATCGTGATTTCTTCCCCTGGCGCTGTTGTCTCTTGCGGTATGCGTTCACGAGTTCTTCACATACACACCCCCTTGGAGATAACCGCCCAACCACCGACGACCCTGGTGTGAATAGCAAATGAGGAAAGCCCCGAGCTTTGCGATGGCCGGGCTGCGCTACGTAGAAAGGGGAGTCATACGTGTTCATGATTCGCCGGTGTTCCGGCACACCCTGCTGTGACTCACACTTTTCTTTGTCCTGTTGACGGTTCGCTCAGGTCTGGACCTGCGTCTTTGCGAGATTCTGGCAGGGTCCATGCTGTGAATTTGAGTGCCTACTCGTTAGAATGATTCGAGGTGGCTGGGGATTGGTGGTTCATTGGGAATTCTCTGGTATTGATATCGCCACCTTTGGAATTGAGTTGGGCCCGTCGAGGGCAGCGGACCTTTGGTCTTCACGCTTTGGGGGCCAGGCACCGCGCCTCGATGACGACTGTCTTCCCGGCGTCTCGGGAATTGGGCGTGTGTGTCAGTGGAAGGAAATCAATAACAACAAATCATTCCTGCGTTCGCTTCGTTTTGAAGGTGCTTGGGACGGGCTGTGTAGGCAACAGCCGCGTTTTTAGTCGAATGAGAGAGCGTTTGGGAGATGGGGCCTCCTGACTGGGGCAATCTGGTCCGGGCTTATCTTGTTTTCTGAGGCGAGTGATGTCGTCTTACGCGGAGGGGAGGTTTTGAGAGGCTGGGGCATTTGTGCACTGCCCGAAGGTGAGTCTCACATGTCCGAGATGTATGGATGTGATTCGCGACTTGAGACGTTGGCCTCAGATGCGAGATCTGGCGATATATGCATTTGGTATTTGGCATGATTGTGAGGCGCCTCGTCTTCGCAGGCCTCCTTGACGACGTATTATGGCATTGTATTGGTTTGTTTGAGTGTTATGCCTGGAATATGAGTCAAATATCCTGAGTTACATTCAATAGGGGCACCCCTCAATGATTGTTAGGAAACTCATTAACACAAGAATTGTCCATCCTTTGACATAATCACAAGCCATGACTCTCCTGAGAAGGACAGTGTATTCGCACTGGGCTACGTGAATGCCAGTTCAGTTATGTGCTACCTACTCTAAGGCACGACGATACCTCAGGATTGGATGCTCGTAAGCATCATCGGCACAGGCATGGTTGGGACGCGAACCCCGGCTGGCCGGTTAAACCACATAGATGGCGTCACATGCTCGCGGTGTTATTCACAAACGCTCCTGCAGACGTCTGCTGTCGCCTGAGGATGAATGTTTTGTCATTGACAGTGAACATTCAGTGATCAAGTTCGGGAAGCGCTTATTATGATTTTGTTGACTACTTCGAATACATCTCTTGCCCGTTGTTGTCTCCCTTATCTTCGCTGATGTTGGCACTGTTGTGTCTATGGCGGCTTTGGCTACATCTACTCTGGTGCGACTTTGATGATGCGTGCTGTGCTGCCCTTGCGTAGCATGACAACCCTGGGCAGCCAGGTTGTTGCGTTTCTTTTGTTTAATGTGACAATACTCTTTCCCGATCGTTTCTCTCTCATCCCCTTCTGCGGCTGATTTTGCGGCCTTTTTCGACGCTTCCGAGGCTTGGAACTTGTTGTCGCTAGACGTGTCAAAAGCCGCCGGTCAGAGAGCCTCATCGATATAATACGAGCGCTCACAACACTGGATTTGCCACCGGTGCGTAAGATCAAGTAACTCAAGGAGCTCCTCTTTGAGAGCGGGCCCCAAGGCTGGACAATTTGTGATACGTCTGAGTGGCGAGCGCCAGCTGCAATAGGTTTCTCGTTAGTACCTGCAGTTCCCAGGTCGGGCTTGGTGAGATGACAGAAGCTTCTGAAGCATCTCTCCTGGGGAAAGGTATTGTGTACTAAGCAGGCAGTCGTCCAGACTCTTCAAACACGCAAGGCCGGATGGGGGATATAATCAATTTGATATCTCTAAGTATGTGAATATTGTATGATAAGGGGGTGGCTCATGAGATGCAGTGCTGCTTCTGACGCTTCTGCAACCAGGATGAGAAGTGCTGAGAGTGCCTGGCACACTTCTCACAAACCTGCACGATTTACTCTCAGAATACTGGCTTTCTCCGCAGATCCCTTGTCTTTTGAACCCTGCGTTGAAGAAACTCAGCCCTTCTCTTCGTGGCAAGATGTCGGGCTTGGTCAAATTCAACCCACGTGTGAAACATGATCTCACTTTCGCTTGCGAGTCTCCAGGCAATTTCCCCAGACTTGTTGCGCTGGAATAGTTTTGCTCCTTTCAGAAGAGCTTGTGTGATGCGCCGAAGACTCTCTCGACGCAGAATGTAGTCCCGTAGAAACTCAGTAGTAGTAGAATCCTCTTTTTAAGCGACGGCCATCTGATCAGAGGGCTGGCTGGGCCTTCTAGCAGAATTTCAGTCGGAAAGACCTACCGCTTACTTAGAAGGATAGGATCGTGGGTCTAGACATGCCAGTCGAGGCCAGCAAACGGAGGCCCATATTTAAATAGGGATTCTATTACCATTTCTGAATTTTCGCGGTGTCTCTGCTCCTATGAACTCCACCGCCGATGCTTCCAATTCTAAAGACGACTTCTGCTCCCTAGTCTACCAGGGGAACTTCATCGAGCCGCAGAAGGCGATTTCAAGTCGACAACAGCTCGTTAGTTTGAATAATTATCAACTCGATTCGAATGGAAAATGTGCGTTATTAAGGGTCTGATTAGCGTAAAGCTGATCTACCACAGCGTAAGGCGGCAAACCGCGGGGACTGTGGGCCGCATTTAGCATTGCACTAACAGAGCACACTAGAAGTGGTAGTTGTTGGCTGAGGTTGAATCAGGAATGTGCCCAAGCTTGCCTGGCTCAGATGAGTTAACACTCCCACAAATTTACTGTCCCGGACTTTGCACCACAAATTTCAAACGCGTTCCGCCGTCATGGTTTCTCTAAAAGATATCGAGGTCTCAAATAAGGGCATCGAAGCCTTAGGGCCCGATTTAGTCGCGGTGTTCGTAGGAGCGACAAACGGCGTGGGCGAGACCACATTGAAAAGATTTGCGAAGCATGCGCTACGGCCACGAGTGTACGTTGTCGGGAGGTCACAAGAGGCAGCCGACCGTATTCTCACCGAATGCCGTGCTTCCTCTAATGGCGGAACCTTCACGTTTATCAAGGGCGATACCAGTCGCATGTCCAACATTGACGATATATGCAATCAGATCACACACTCTGAGAAAGCCATCAACATTCTTTGTCTAACCATTGGCACCCTCCAGATAGGATTCGGTCAGTCGCTCGCGTTTATCATTTCTCTGCCTAACAGTACACAGATACAGAAGACGGGCTGCATTATCCCATGGCTCTCACAGTCTACGCACGCCACCGATTCGTATCAAATCTGCTACCCTCATTGCGTCGTGCAGACCGGCTACGTCGCGTCGTTTCCGTTTTCGGGGCAACCTTCGAGGGCACAATCGATATGAATGACTTCCAAGGCTCAAGCAAAGGCTGGCCGAAACTTCAAGCACACATGGCCTCAATCATCACTCTGTCTCTCGAAGCATTCCAGAAAGCCGCACCAGAAGTGTCCTTCGTCCACAATTTCCCCGGCGCAGTGGAGTCCGGTATTACACGCGGTTCGATCGGGCCTCTGATGCGGACGCTAAAAACTATTTTCGGCGTTCTGGGTTCGTTGGTGCATATACCGCTCGAGGAAGCTGGCGAAAGGCATCTGTTTCTGTGTACTAGTGCGCGCTTCTCATCGGGGGTGGAAGATGCGGCGCCCGGTGTTCCGCTGCCGGATGGGCAAACTCTGGCCAGAGGGGTTACCGGTGAGCTTGGCACGGGCGTATACTCAATTGACGCGAATGGCGAATGTGCAACTGTCAAGGTTGAAAGGCTACTGGCCATGTTTCGGGAGCAGGGCACCGCTGGGCAGGCGTTCGACAGAGTTGAAAACGATATCAGCAAAATCCTGAGCTCAGGCGCAAAAGAATGAATAACGAAGGTCGTTGCGAAAGAGCTTCACCATTATCTATTGCATATTCGACCTATTTTTTAAAAGTTAATCAACTAAGGACCAGTTCATTAACCTCTTTGCTGATATTCCTATCAATAACAACCTCTAGCTCTAGCATAACTCCTTTATTTGCAGTCGTAGTTATTAACTACGCGACTCATCATCATCACGGGAATCAAGAGCTGTCTCGTAAACCAATCGTCCTCGAACAATCGTCCTGGCCATCTTTTGGAGTCTGCGAGGAAAAGCTCGAATTCGCTTAGATACCCAAAAGGTCCGTCGCTGTGTCCATATTCAAATATGCGATCGAGCACGCAGTCGGGCATGTACTTTTTGGTGGACGCATCGAACAACTTTGAGAGCACGCCATCCCGTGGGTGCTTGGAAGTCCAGCATGTACCGTCAGCCAAGCTGAATATATAGAGTCTCTTGTCGTACGTGGAGAGCGTGCGTATTTGGAACTTAGCCCATGAAGGAAGGTGCAGCCTCGAATGTAGGCGCTCTTCCAGGAAGTTGGAGACTGGACTACCTCCTCTAGGATAGCAAAATGGGTCGGGGCAATTGGATAGACAGCGCTCTGCTAGTCCCTGAACCTGTGACTTCAGGACGAAGCTGGCGACGTCAGCCCTTTCATGTCTCAATGCAATGTCTAGCAGTCTTTTCGACGGCATCATGATGCGTTCGTGGACCATTGATTCCAAAAAGCGGCTAGTAGCCTGTTGCATCATTGTGTTTGTGTAGGTATCATCGACGAGCCTCTCAAATTGTGGTCGCAAGCCTCCGCAGTAGAAGAGGCTTCTCAGAATATCCTCGTCTTGTACGAAGAGGTATGTGGCGCCCCAGACGAAATCGTCGTTCTTCAAAGACTTCAAGTCAGCCCCTACGTCAATGAGTCGCCGAAACACATCATAGTTTCGGTAGATGAGAGCCAGTGACACTAGAGGTAAGGTGCTGGCTGTGATGAGGACTGTGTTGTTTCAGTGAGTGCTTGGTTCGCACACGTTAAATGTGGCGGTAGTTCTCGGAACTTGGCCGGGTGGTCATGCTAGGCGAGAGGCCAAGGTCAAGTCATGCGTCGATCAGCGCTTTATATCAGTGCGGCTTCCCTTGATATCCTCTCGAAGGAAATAGCTACAAGATAGTATCGTAAAGTATCCGCGAGTCCGCGCTCAGCTGAGGGCGTCTGCTCGAGGAAGGTGTTGGACGATACGGAAGATGACTTTGGCGGGAAAAGATACAATCGGCACTTTTCCATGGTCGCGGAACCACGAAAGAGACATCTTATCCGAACGAATCGGGAAGCATAATGGAGCCTTACCAGGCAAAGACATCAAAGATGGAAAATGCATGGTGAGTATCAAGATATAGAAGCAAGATTGGTCGTTAAATGAAACGAAAAATTGTTGTCGCGATGCAAATGCAAACGAGACAGAGCCGTTTTATTTGTGGGTGAGAACCTGAGTAGCGCGCTTTCATAAAATCTGATCACATATGAACATGGAACACCTTCAAAGGTTGGATCTGCTCTTATGAAGCGCACAAGGTTATGTATGGATGGCAGACACCCTGAAGGGTCGTGAGACCGCGATCCTCGTCCACCAAAACACGGCCACGGGTAGCAAAGATGAAACTGAAGACGCGATCTTCAATTGGAGGGGCCTTACAACGATTCAAACTGCTTCTTCAAATTTAAAGTTACCCGGTCTTTTACGCTGTATTCTCTACAAATTCCTCGACCGACTTGTTTCTTCACCGAAACTATTTGAAAACTTCTTCGCAAAACCATAGCTTTCTCCGAACGGTCATCGGCACCTTTCATAGCTCTGACAATGTGACGGGCAGGTAGAGCATGAGCCTTCGGAGATGGCTCTTTACCATCAATATATGCGCGAACATTCAACCTTTCTCGGACTGACTGCTTTACTTCTCTAACATTGTCGTACATCTCAATTGTACACACATAAGTGTCATTCGACCGGCGCGCGACCAGCATCCCGATACCGGCACCAGAAGCGATACTGACAGCAACGTATTTCCGTATAATACGACTATTATAAGTGTCCCGTTCGCGTATCTCTCAAGAGCCTAAGACCGTGGATCTCTGGCAAACACATCATCATCGTCGTCTTCTCCCGAGGGCAGTGGGGCACTTGAACACATAGTAGACCGAGAGGCTCGAGGCAACCACTGCGACTCCATCACATCTAGCACGCACCATGTCTTACCAGAATCCTAATGCTATTCTCGAGGTATCCGGACGGGAATGTCCTTGCAACAGATATGCCGGCGGATGCTCCGCCCAAGGGCTGAAGAATGCCATTGGTTATTCGATCATAAGAGGCAACGATGACGCCGCACTCAACCATGCAACATCTTGTTGTCAAGAACTTCTGAAAACCCTGTGCAGCAACGGTATGGAGCCGGTCTTCCTCGAACGGGATCATAGGTGCCGTTTTGTTGGTAGCCTCCTGCCAGACCTCCTTGACCAGAGATGCTCGGCCCAGGTGCTTGAGGTATTCTTGCGCTACACAGGCTACGTCGACCTCAAGCACCCCGATACTCTTGGAATACTCCAAGTGATAATTGAGCGTCTTCTATGGATGGATCTTTGCGAGGAGAACAAACTGGACGAGCACTCACGGCTGAAGATCGACCTCATACTGCTCGCTATCAGCAGCAGGTTCGACGGTGTGGATCCCAAGTTCGAGCGCCAGTTGACCTTCAATCGGATCAAGCCTTGGTTGATGGATCGTTGTAGGTGGGCTGCTTACCCGCCCATGGCTTCTTATCCGCCCAACGCACACTTTCCAGCGTTTCTTGGTCTCTTGGACGCCATGATCTCCTGTTTCTGGGACAACCGACATCGAGACAACGAGTTGAATATCCTCTCACGCACCATCTACGACGATGCGTTTTGGTTCAGCCTGCTTGAGATGTTGTGGACGGATCAACGCATCATCAACGGTACCATGTGTCGCGTCGTAGACATCTCACGCAGGCTGCTGCATATCGGGAAAGAGATGAAGGAGAGGGGCATGTGCGCGGATCGAGACCCCTTCACAAAGAGAAACTTTTTGACTGAGGGTCGTCGCGGCTGGAAACTCCGGAATTTGGTCAAAGAACTGAGGGATGGCGCAAAGGGACGCAAGGATTGTCGTATTGCGGCAGATTGGTCCGATGACGTTGAAGTGGGATTCAGAATTGTGGGCGAGAACCAGGGACGAATCAACTTCGACAACCAAGCTGCGAGAATGCGCAAGAATAGTTGGCTGGAGATGGGCAGACTCGTGCGTTCCTGAAAGGATTAATCCAAGGGAGCCAAGGTCAAGAAAACTCTCATCGGAACAACCATAGTCGTGTTTGCTACAGATCTGGCATCTGGCGATGGAAGAAATTGTGCCTTAGCTTCACACAAAATTCAATAGAGGTGGGCTCACACTCTCGCATTGTTCGTATGTTGCTGTCCTGCCCAACTGTCATGTTGTTTTCGATTCCATGGTTCTATGACCGTAGCGTTTTACTTCGTAACCCATTGACTCTCTCTTCTCGATCTGTCGTTCCTAGGTCTGCTTCAGCCTATTCCTTCCAGACAGAGCAAACTCTGTGCCCTTTCACACTGTCCGTGGTGGGAACAACCAACTGGCAACGAAGAAGCTGCTTCAATTCAACTCTAGTATTACCCATGGTCGGCGACCTTTACGAGCACCCTCCGGGACATGTCCCTAAAACATCTATACCAAATGTTTTAAGACGCCATGAGAGCTGCGAGGATCACGAAAGACTTTTTCAGCTTTATCCGCTGGCAATTTCCGAAATACTGCAAAAAAAAAAAAAAAANTTTATCCGCTGGCAATTTCCGAAATACTGCAAAAAAAAAAAAAAAAGAAAAAAAAAAAAAGAAAAAAAGAAAAAAAGAAAAAAAGAAAAAGAAAAAGAAAAGAAAAAAAACCCCATTCAATGGCCGGGTTGCTTAGCTATGCAACACCACGACTCTGCTCCGATGGACCATGACCTACGGGCTCTATGAAAATCCACATATAACACCCTTATGAAATGAGAAATTTGAGGTCACGTTAAACTTTTTGTCGCTTCCAGAGAGGTGGATTGTTGTGCGTGGGGCTTGCATCTGTCAAGATCTCGCAATGGGTTTGGATGACAGCACTTTTCCACAATGTTGTGGATATGGCGGCGTTTTGGCCACTTTGCCTTGCAGTGCGGTTCTGCTCAGGCCCAAATTAGAAATCCCCGGACATTGAACTTGTAACACTCGATGAGTCTGGGGATCGCTCCTTGTCCACAACATCTTTATTACTGGTTGCTCGGATGGTATGTTGGCCCGGTCGGCATTTCTGTTCCAAAGCAATGCTCTCTCAATCTAACCTGTAGCACCTCCTCATCAACACTATGCAAGAGGCCCTGGCGCGAAGACTGCCGACCGACACATTTTAAATTCATTGCAAGAAAATTCTTCTACTGTCACTGGCCACATAAGGGACAATTGATCTTCATCCATGCCCGCCATTGCGGCTCATCATGCTCCCATTCAGCAGGAGCGAGCGATGGCTTGGCGTTCGAATAAGGTGACGGGAGCCCCTGGTGGCGGTACCCATCCTTTCCCGCGGCCCATCAACACATCCCTCAGCTGCTTGCCTTACCTTATCAGGCTGCCTTTGAACTTGGTTAGAAACGGAGCACCTTCGGTCAGAACCTCTCAGCTTCAAGCCCTGTGTCTGTCATATTCGTTAGTTCCGTCGTATCGTTCGACTGTTACTGGCCGAAATCATCATTGTTTGGGCCCCGCTGAACAAGGTGTGGTGCGAACAATGCGGAACTGCGCTTCAGCGGCCAATCGGAGGGAAATGGGACGTGGTGGTTGCAGGCCAGGGCTCCCCGAAGGATGCAAGGTGGCCTGCATTTGCGCGTTCCAGCGCTGCTCTCAGCCAGTGTGATGTCTCCCTTCTTTCGGCACTACTTCCAAAATCGAAGTCAACGCCGTGGGCTAGTTGGATGAGCAGCGCCCGGCTTTGATGGGCAATGGAACACAGCGCGCGCACTTGTGTCACTCGCCTAACGAATGTTGCTGTCTGCTCTGCTCTGCTCAGTGGAAAGAAATATTCTTGAAGTAGCAGTCATTCACAGAGTAAGTTCACGGTAGGCGGGACACAAAGCCAACAGATGCGAGGACGTCGACAAGCCTTGTGCGCCAGCCCGCCGTGGCTGCGGCAGCCGTCGGGAGGGGCTTCGAGGACTTCGTTCCATTGCCGGCGCAAATCTCCTCGCGTGCCAGCCTCCCAAAGCAGCAACTGACGGCTCCGGGATGGTAGTGGTGGGAGATGGCGTGTTCGTTGGGCGGAAGTCAGCAGGTAGACTGCTACCTAGGGCGGCCGTACGGGTGAGCTAGGCGGTGATCCCGGGTGCGGGGGGAATCAGCCTCTTGCGACATGGCTGGCATGCCGAGACGACGACACCTCCCCGAGAAGGCTCGCCCACGGGGGGTTCCAAGGCAACGATGCGGCGCAGGCTCTCAATTATAGAAGGTGGAAGGAGTCCAGAAGGGCGATGCGATATGTGAAATTGAAGCTAAGAGATAGGCGAGTCTCGTCGCTTACTGTTGAAGAAGGGACAATCGACAGGTGACAGATGGCGGGAGCGTACATCCAGCGAGGAGGAAAGGGCCGTATGGTGGTACGGCCCACCGTTGAATCGTCTTGGTCATGCTGGCCGGCGTCTTGGTGTCTTGGGGGATTCTTCGGGTCGCTGGCATTCGCAGGTTGCGGCGGGAAAGGTGCCCACGGATCGTTGGCAGGAGTCTGAAGGGGCGTTATCTGGCTGTGGCGAGGGTGCCAACACCGATAAAGCAACTTGGCGAGAGCTTGGTACCAGTGATGAATAGTCGATAAAAGATGCCAAAATTTGCCAAAGGGTTGGCGAGGGTTGGCATTTCTGGGCCGGCGAGTGAGGTGTCGTGATTTTGTGGAGGGAGCTGGGTTTTGTTTCTCGCTTGGGGGCTCAATGGCGTTGGAAGCAGGCGAGTCTCGTTGAGGTAGCGGTCGCGTACTCTGTAGAGACCAGGGGTCTGCAAGTCGGTGGCTTCAATTTGCGAATACGTAATCGCGTGAGCGAGTGCTTCGAGGCAGATTGGAAGCTCACTGGCTGCGTGGAGGACTTTTTGAAAGGCCAAGGGCTGGGCAGCGCAAAGAGTCTGCAAACCGCAAATTGCATCCATTCATGGAGGACGTTAGGTGAGCAGCCGTCACCCGTTGAATCGATCAATCCGTCCGCCCATTCCCCATCCATAGATCTGTGCTGGTGCCACGGTTTTGGCTGTAGGGTGGCCGTTTGGGGGCGCGCGAGACCGCTGAACGATTGCGATTGGCCTCGTCTGGATTGGCCGAGGTGGTACACGTTTCTTCCTCTCCGGGATTAGGCTAGGAAGGAATTCGTGTGAAGCGCAAAAGAAAGTATAGATTGTCGCGAGCAAAGAATGTCTGGTGGGCAACTGTGTCACGTCAAAGGATGAGAGAGAATGTCGCCAGGGGAGGTGCCTGGGGAGGAGCTCGGGACGGGAGTTGGAAGGCACCTGTCCGCTAAGACGAACGGGGAGTAGTACGGCGGTGCGCTGGAAAGGAAGGAGGACGGGGCGGGCGGGCAGGGCAGTTGGAGGCAGGCGCCGCAGATGCAGGTGCAGGGTCCGCTGCTTCTCTGTCGGGTGTGACAGGACAGCATTACAGAGTGTGAGCAGGTGCGATAGCCGTGTTACGAGCAATACCTTCCATCCTGAGGTAAGAGCACCTTCCAACAAGTCGTCTGTGGCTTCTGGTCACACTCCTCCTTCCTGCCTTCCTGCCTGCCTTATCCCGCCAGGTGCGTGAGGTGCTCTTTCCTTTTCCCATCCCCGGTACGTACCTTTCACCACACCCTCCAACGGGACCCACATTTCCCCGCCAAGATCGCCCCCCGCCGCCCCTAGAAGGCGCGGAAGGTCCTCACGTCCTTCCATGCATCAGTCCGGGCGGGCTCCGCTGATAATGGTCAGCTACGCACAAGATACACGACGCTACCTCCTGAGTAGCCCTCACAACGGCCTCTTCTCCTCTCAGAAACATCTGATCTCTGTGTCTCTCCTGTACGCCATTTGCTGCCGCGGTCTCTGGCATGCCCGTGGCCACGGGCCATGTCATATCGACGTCCACACCCCCGCCGACTCCTCGACTCACGCCCACGTCCACCAATCCCATCACTCTCTCTCATTTGTCTTGGTTATTCGGTATCTATTCAACATGCTTGGCTACCTATCCGTAGGCAGCCCACGCCTCAAGTCCCTTCTCCGATCAACATGGGGTCTTGCGACACTTCCCTGAACTCTCCAAATCCACCTTCTGTTCTCGTCCGGCATCCCGTCTGCTTCACTCCACTTCCCCAAGACTTGGCCTTCCTCTGCCGCTTGGCAAACATCCATCTTACTCGCCTGAGTCCGGATGTCGACTCTTGTAGCTCTTTGACTCGTTGGTTACCGCTGCTTCGTTACCTCTCCATTACCTTGCTCCCCTCCGCATGCCTGCCAGTTTCTCGCCGCTGATAGTCATGGATACATGTAATCGCTCGGCACGACAAGAAGATACCGGATAGGGTGCGAGGCCAAGGTACCAACACGGATATGGATGCATGCTAAGATGTGCTAAGGCAACGAGGGCAAGGAGCTGGGAAGCGCCAGAGTGACCGTCGCATTTGCAGCTGCTGCTGTCGCGTCCTCCACCGATCGCCCTCTCGTCCTTTTAATCCGACCGCGTCCCCCCCTCGACTCTCAGCGAGTTTTCTCTTCTCCTACCCTTGTGCTTCACCTGTCATTCTCCGCAGGCCCGTCGCCTCCTTTCCAAGCAACTGCGCCCAAGGGCCCTATCCTTTCCTTCTCTGAGGACGGACAATCGCCCAGTGCGAATCAACAACATGGCGGCCGAGAAAGACATCCACGATGGCGTCTCGACGCCCGAGACCACCCAGGTCCATACCGGAACCCCCAGCGGTGGCCTTCCCCCTGTTAGTGGCAAGGCTGCCACTGCATATGGCGAAGGTGCTCTGAGCCATGGAGCAGCCCAACGTGACGAAAACTTTTACACGCGTAACGGCCTTAACTTTGAGTCGTTCAAGCCTCGCGACTATGGTCGCGGCATCGTGGAGCTTGACCGTACCATGAAGTCGCGTCATCTTCACATGATTGCTATCGGTACGTTTCTTTGGCGAATGATGGCTCTGGAGCGACTGCTGACGTGACTATTTGACAGGCGGCTCCATTGGTGCTGGTTTCTTCGTCGGTTCCGGAGGTGCTCTTAGCACTGGTGTCAGTCTCCGCATGCCCCCAATCGTGATCTACTCAATACTAACCTCTTGAAGGGACCTGGATCTGTTCTGATTGACTTCATGATTATTGGTGTCATGATGTTCAACGTCGTCTACGCTCTTGGTGAACTCGCTGTCATGTACCCCGTGTCCGGTGGTTTCTACATCTACTCATCCCGCTTCATCGACCCCTCTTGGGGATTTGCAATGGGTTGGAATTACGTATTTCAGGTCAGAACGTCCGTAGATTGACTGCGCAAACACAAGCTGACAGCAACTAGTGGGCCATTGTCTTGCCTCTCGAACTAACTGTATGCGGCTTAACTATCAATTACTGGGAAGGTGCCAGAGAAGTCAGTCTGGCGGTTTGGATTACCGTCTTCTGGGTCGCCATTATCTTCATCAACGTATTTGGAACTTTGGGATATGCCGAAGAGGAGTTCTGGTCCTCCCTTCTCAAGCTTAGTGCTATTTGTGAGTGGTGCGCATCCTCGATCAAACACGATGGTTCTAATTAATTTGCCAGGCATTTTCATGATTGTCGCATTTATTCTTGTCTTGGGAGGGGGCCCTTCCAACGGCCGCTACAACGAATACTGGGGAGCTCGATACTGGTATGATCCGGGTGCCTTCCAAAATGGATTCAAGGGCTTCTGCGGTGTGTTTGTCACTGCCGCGTTCTCTTTTGCCGGTACCGAGCTTGTTGGATTGGCTGCTGCTGAATCCGCAAACCCACTCAAGTCTCTCCCGGGCGCCATCAAGCAGGTGTTCTGGCGTATCACTCTTTTCTATATCTTGGGTCTCTTCTTCGTCGGCCTCCTCGTCCCCGCCAATGACCCCACCCTCCTCGGTGCTGAAAACGCCTACGCTGACGGCGCTTCGCCTTTTGTCATCGCTGCCAAGCATGCTGGATTGAACGGATACGACCACTTCATGAACTGCATTATTCTGGTTTCTGTTCTGTCACTTGGCGTTTCCTGCGTTTACGGAGGCTCCCGTACCCTCACTGCTCTTGCGCAACAAGGCTATGCCCCCAAGATCTTCAGCTATGTCGACAAGGGCGGTCGCCCCCTGCCTTCCGTTATTGTTCATCTACTTTGCGGTGCCCTTGCTTTCATGAACCTAGATGCTGACGGTGAGACCGTCTTCAACTGGCTTCTCAACATGTCTGCTCTGGCTGCTTTGTTCACTTGGGGATCTATCTGCTTGTCCCACATTCGCTTCCGCAAGGCTTGGGCGTACCACGGCCACACGGTTGACGAGATCCCCTTCCAGGCGGCCTTTGGCGTTGCTGGATCTTGGGTCGGCCTAGGTCTTTGCATCATCGTCTTGATTGCCCAGGTAAGCTTTCTTGTCATTGAAGGTTTTATGCCGCTTGCATTACTAACACTACCATAGTTCTTCGTTGCCATCGCTCCTCCCAAGAACAACGATGAGCTCAACGATGCTGAGGGATTCTTCGAGGCGATGCTTACTGTTCCTGTTATCATGGTCTTTTGGGTCATCGGTTTCGCCTGGAAGCGCACTGGCTGGCTTCGCACCCACCAAATGGATGTCGACACCGGTCGTCGTGAGCTTGACTGGGATGAGATCAACGCCTACAAGGCTGAGGTTGCTTCCTGGCCTACCTGGAAGCGCATGCTGAACAGGTTCTTCTAGATATCTGTTGCAAAACTTCGAGACCGCAACTCTACTGAACTGGACTCAACAGTCAGGATAGTGACAGCCACTCCAGGTCACCTTGAGAGAAGGTTGCCGGATTTCCTTTTTCGAAACGCGCTTTAGATACCACAATCTATCCTTAAATATCATTTGGATCTGGTTACTCAATCCACTTCCAGAGGCTTGTAATATGAACGGCGAATAATAGAAGTAGTAGCTGTGATCACCCCCAATGACTGATCGTGAAACTGGAAACAATCTGTAGCCTACAATGATCGAAAACCCTGCAAATGCACATTGTGAACGGATCCAACGCCTGAGTAACAAATGCCATTGGGGTTCATCGGCTACCCACGGCTGCTGGCAATGGGTAATCGGCACAACCACTCAAGTTAGCCCTGACACTTCCTGGTATCGGTGAGCTGCAGACATTTTGGATGACACCGATAAATCCAAGAGAGGAAGAGGTATCATGCAAGCCGAGACCGTCCATACATGGAATCCTCCAGGAATCAGGGCATGGGCGTTGATCTATCATACGAAGTTCTCGCAGGGGAGATGTACATTAATATGAAGGGCAGGCAGATAAGGTTCAGGGGGTGCATATGACGGCAGGATTGGCGTGCCGGGCGCATGTATGCGGGAGAAGAGGTCTAGAATGCTTCCGTGCCCGGTTGTTCCGGGGAGCTGGGTTGCTGGCTGGGAGGGAAGGGCGAGGCGAGGCGAGGCTAGCCAAGGGGGCTTGGAAGGTGTGCCGAGGTCTAGGCATGAAGATAGGTTGGCAGCATGCAGGTCTCACAGGACGGGGACCATGGGAAATACCCTACCACGTGCATCTTCTGAGGCTTGCTAGGCTTTTGAGAATCATCCCAAGTATATTGAGGGACATGGCTGATGTTCGTAAGGTCATTCGGACTAAACAGTAACGTATCTACGGCCGTCGACCATGGAGTCACAGCCTAAATCTCCTCTAAATCCGTCTAAGAAGATTCAATGCCAAATCCACGGAAGACTATGTCCTCACATCGCTTCAAGAAGTCGAGAATGTCTGCTTCAGTGTGCCAAGCATCATTGTACGCCGCGCTCAGACACAGCTCGCCTCGGAAGGTGCCCAAGAACAGACCCAGCCCGTTACCGAGCTCCTCGCCGGTGACCCACGGATCATGAGCCTCAAAGGCTCCGTTCTTGGGAGCGATGATGCCGTCAACGCGCCCCATGCTCGAGATAGACACGGAAGGGTGGGCCTTGGGCGGCGGGACGGGGAGAGGCCGGGGGCCAGTGGGCAGCTCGGGGGTGATGGCGGCCCAGATGTCGGTGGCGAGGGCGTAGTGCTCCGTGTCGTTGCGGACACCGTGGTAGAAGTCCTTCATCTGCTGGACGATGGGCAGGAACTCTTCCTGAACGGACTTGGCGTTGTCTTTGCCATCGGCGGGGAGGTCCATGTCGACGACGAGACTCTGGCCTGGGACGGAGTGGTAGAGCGCCGCGGGGTGTTTAGCGGAGTTGTAGGGTGCCTGGCAGCTTGAGCGCTCGTTGCGGAGGATGTAGTTGACGTAGCGGACGCGCTTGGAGACGGGACTGCGGGGCTGGATGTCGCGGAGGACGAGGGCGATGGCGGCGTGGAAGGCGTGCGTGGGGGTTGCGGAGGCGGCCTTGCAGGCTTTGAGGAGGGCGGAGGTTTGGGTCTCGGTCAGGGTTCGGAAGACGCGTTGGTGTCGGTGAGGAACGGCTGCGCCGCGGCGGTAGGGCATGTCGATGATTTCAACGCCGGGGGTTTCCATTGCGGCGGCCTTTTGGGCGGACATGTCGGCCAGATGCTTCTGCTGGGCATCGGTGAGGGAAGGGGGGACGTTGGCGGCGATGCGGAACGGCGGGCTGAGGTTTGAGGCCTCGGAGCCGTCGAAGGGTGGGAGCTTGTAGGCATCGCCTTCGGAGTACGCCTTGGCTGCATGGGTGATGAGGTTGTCGAGGAGGGTGAGGGTGCCGATGCCGTCGATGATGTCGTGGGGCGAGCGGAGGACGAGGTCGCGGCGGACGAGGCCGTCCTTGTTGGATGGTGGGCTGAGGACGAAAAGAGTTGGGACCTTGGGAGCTGGGGGGTTGGAATTCGCCCAGGTGATGCCAGTTTGCTGAGAGGAGACCGGAACCAGGGTTGTCTTGAGCCAGGCCTCTTTGTCGGCTTCATCTTGGAACTGGCGGTAGGTCTTTGTCCATTTCCCGGTGGTGGCATCTTGAGTAACCTGGGAAGCAATGGTGGGATGGTCGTGACGGAGTGCGAGCCATGCTTTCTTGAGAGCTTCATCCACGGTGCTGGCGTCGGAAGAGGACCCGGCGTTGGTGGCATCGACGGTCAGGGAGACATGACCGGTGATGGCAAAGAACATGAGGCCGCTGCCCTCGTAGAGAACGGGAAGAATGGCATAGTGCTTCTCTATCTCGTCGACGCTGCGTTGCCATAGTCCGGTGGAGGTTTGACGCCAAACGAGCTCAGGGTAGGTGGATGCCATGCTGAATCAGGCAGGGTGGATGAGCAGACTGTGAAGGTCAAAGAGATGAGGGGTAGCAGGATGCTTTCATGATCGGGTTTTCTGAGGAGGTCAGCTCCTGTTCTTCCTATGGTTTGAGAACTCACTCACGCGACATGGAAAGATTCCCGAAAACCCCGCCGTCGTCGGAAGGGTTCACGACAGACCCGATTTCCAACATGGATCTACCACGATCTCACAACGGCGGTTGGGAGATGGTCCAAAAGAGGAATGGCGGCGTCAGTGTGGAAGGTGGGGAAGTGTCAAGGCGGGCCATCAAGATCATCCGATTGGCTGGGATATCGCCGGAGATTAGCCATGACGGGCCCCATGTCCCTGTTGCTCATCTGATTGGCTCAACTTTCCGGCATTCTACCGGGTCGAGGGTCGTTGCGGACTTCGTCGGAACTTCTTGAACGCGACATATGTAAATCCATGACCATGACGGCTTTGTAACAGAGCTTATGCTGCGCCCACGAAATCGAATTCTGCTCTTCAATATCTGACAATAACTGCAAACCCCAAAGCTCACTCAAAATAGAAGCCGGCATCTCACTGTCGATAGAACACTGCGCTTGCAACCTCGCCCAACTCAGACTTCCAGAGAAACTGATCGAACTCGTCCTCCTCCCATTCCTGACCACCAAGACTCTTGCTTTGGTCATTGACAGCGGAACGTATCACGGTCCAAAGCTGCTTCATGCGCTGCGACCACTCTTCATCGTTTTTGGGCACTGCCTCCTTGGCCTCAGTAACCTCCTTGTTGGCCAGTGCCAAACTGGCCTCCAGAAGTTTGTACTTGGCACGCCAAACTGCCATCTCATCATCACCAAGTGGGTCATCCGCAGTCTCGGTGCTGTCGTTACAATCGTCGTGGTGCGATGGGCGGACCTTCCAAGGCACAACCACCTTGTTCGACAGATGATTGCCAGTACGCTTACGGCTGGTGTTGAGGAGTGTTGCTGTAAGAATGTTCAGTTTCGAAGCTTTAATTTACCTGACAGATACAGTACTCACTAGCATCATTTATCTTCAGCTGCTTGGCCTTGAGACCGCCTTCGACGATGCGGGTGAAGTCATCCAGCGCGTTGAGGAAGTGCAGGAAGCAGGGCTGAATCTTGCTGGTATCGTATCCGTTGGCGATGAAACGCTTGAGGGCTTCAAGAATCTTCTCCATGATGAAGGATGATTTGCGTGCTGCGGAGACGAAATTCCAGGTCCGGCCTTTGTTCCTGAGCTCCCTGAACGCGTAATCAAAGATAACTCTGAGACTGAACACGTCGTGCGTGTGGTACACATCCGCGGCAACCACGATGATCTGGCAGATGCGACTGGCGACGTCGAACTGGCCACCAGCGGAGGGGGGCTCACCCGCGGCTCGAGATGGAAGGAGAATCTTGGCAACAAGGCCGGACATCTGCTGGCTGGTGAATGGGGCGGTTTCGGGTATGCCGAAGTCCAGTCCTGGCAAGAGCTTGATGTTCGGGTGAGCGGAGTAGTTTTGACGCGGGAGCAGAGTGCGAATGGAAGCAAGGTCAAAGGCTCCTTGGCTGAGGCTTTCCCCCGTTCCATCATCGTCGTTGGCGTTGTCGCCAGTGTCATTCGTGTGTCTTCTGGCGTCGCTCGGTGCGCTCTCATCGACGGCATGAGCTTCACCAGACCTAATATCATTCAACATGACATCAATAATGTTAATAGAAGAATAGATGAACTTATATCGGTAGGGTATGGGGCCCTGTTGGGCGCGAGGGCGACTGAGAGGGTGTCGAGGCCATCGCGATTTGTGTTGACAGTTGTTGTGGTTGGGGTGAACGCCTGCCGAAAAGTGTGTGGTTGAAGATGAGACTGGTTTTTGCTTCTCTTTTTTTCTCGGGCGCTGGAGAAGAAAAAGGTCGACGTGAGTGAAAGCAGCCGCCAGATGGAGGAACAAGAGCCATTATGGAGTGAATAGGTAAGCTATTGTTCACAGGTGGGTCACGTGCAGCTGACCTCACCGGCCCAGTCAATGTGAGAATCACGCTGTGAGGTCTATAAGGAGGTTTGCGTCCTGGATTTGCAACAGCGGGTGGAGAGGTGACAGTGCATATGCCGAGTATAGCCCAAATGCTAGCTCAACACCAAGTTATACTATCCAACGCTGGAGCCTCTGGGTTCAAATCCTTTTTGAGTCGCTTCTTTTTGTCCATTTCTCCTTTTGTTCCGTTCCTCCCTTGCATAAGAAAACGTCTCAAATCGCAGGACATTACTATTTATATATCTTTCTCTCTTTCTCACTCATAAAATCTCTTGTGTTCGCCTGAGAACTGATTGTAGATCAACTCTACTGCTAATTGTCTTCCTGGCACACTTCCCTACCGAAAAGCATACCGATTGACTGGAAACTATTATATTATGTTATTTTGCCATAGTCTCAATGCGATATTCTGTTATGACTTCGAGTCTAGGATACCATCCCTTCATCCCGAGCAAGACCCGGCTCAGGTGAGGATCTTCGCTGCTGTCGATGCGGCATGGAGCGATTGTTCCGACCACATTTCCTAAACAGGCAAACGGATGCGGAGATCCACAATCCCCTCTTGCATGGGATGGAGTATCCTTGAAATGGATAAGCTTATTGACAAGCCTTTTCTGCACTGCGTGAGGTCGCAGGTTGGAAAACATTACTCCTGTCACAACTTTCAAGGAATTCATCAGCATGAAGTGGCTTAGAGGTCTGGCGTTGGTCTCCGCCGTTGCGGCAGCTGGTTCATTCAGGACCCGGAGCCCACCGAGAAGCATTTGCGCAGACGCCGGCGGCGGACATGTCGGCTACTACAGTTTAGGTGGGATAGAGGTCTTCATACAGGTGCCTCCTAGCTGATTTGAGACAGAAACCGACTCGAAGCACATGTTTTTCTGGCTGGCAGAAAGTCGCGGAGAACCGAGCAGCGACCCGGTTATTCTTTGGATGAGTGGTGGTCCCGGTGCCTCTTCCGTGGCTTTCGGTCTCTTCCAGGAACTTGGCCCTTGCCTAATTGACGGCGCCAACTCAACAAGATCAAATCCATATGCATGGAACAATAACGCGAACGTCATTTTTGTTGAGTATGGATTGCTCCTGAAACCACTGGGAAGGCAAGGCATAAGCTGATTAATTGGACTGGAAAGTCAACCATCAAATGTTGGCTTCTCATATTCTGAAATGGCTGTGACCAACTTGGAAGACGCCACATCCGACATGTACAACTTTCTCACGGCGTTCATGGAAAATTTCCCGCAATATTCGCACCAAGACTTCTACATCATAGGAGAGTCGTATGGAGGGACTTGGGTTCCAGCACTTGCAAGAAAGATCCACCACCGACAGTCCTCCCCGATGGCGCAATTCGTGCGATCAACTGCGAATATCAATGAGACAAAGATCAACCTGAAAGGAATCGGACTGGGCAACGCACAACTCTCACAGAAGCTGCAATGGCCTGGGTTCTACCCAACGGGATGTCTTGGGCCCAATCCAGTCTACAATGAAAGTGTTTGCGCCACCATCGAAGCGCATATGCCGCAATGCGAAAATATGCTGCAGATTTGCACTGATATGAAAAATAATGCCGAAGTCTGTAACAATGTGCTATATTATTGCAGGAAGCGAAGCGTCTACTTTATCTTCGACGAGCACCTGAACCCTTATGATTTCCGCAAGCCTTGCCCTGGCGGCGGACTATGCTACGAAGAGGCGGACTGGATCGCGGAATATCTCAACTCTCCCTCGGTAAAACGGGAGCTTGGGGTATCTGCAGATATCACATTTAACATCATTGACTATGAGCTCGGACAATACTTCGACGAGTCGGGAGATGTCTCTTTTGACACCGTCGCCTGGGCTGGAGAGCTGCTTGATCAGGTAAGGAGGATGATATTGTTTCTGTAAACCCAAGGCTAAGATAATGACAGGGATACAAGGTGCTTGTCTACGCTGGCAACAAAGACTGGTTCTGCAACTCAGCGGGAGAAAAGAATCTGGTTCACAACGTTCGTTGGCGTCACCAATCCGCTTTTCAAGCACAGGACTTCCAATCATTCACTTTGGATGGAGAAAGAATAGGCACTTTCAAAGAGAAAAGTGGCCTCAGTTTCGCTGAAATTTTCGATGCGGGACACATGGTGCCAGCTGACAAGCCGAAAGAGTCACTTTTCTTGATCACGTCTTGGATGAAGGGGGATTTAATTTCTACGTAAAATGATCATAGTCTAAAAGCATTGTATCTATTGACATAGGGGAGTTGGAGAAAGTACAGGTGAAGGGAATAAGAAGTGGTGATGCTTGGAAATGAGTTGCTTCGCCATGCAAACTGGAATATCTCGTGACTGCTAAGTTCAAGCCCGAGTATCTGAGGAGCTGATGGAGTGCAAAGTGTGATAAAGGCTCTGGGAATATCCATCTCACGATTCATTCAGCAGTCGATGGAGTCCAAGTCGATCTCCTCCTTGCGTCTGCGGATATGCATCTTGACAGTGGGGTCTGGCAACAAAGCCATGCCGAAGGGAACAGGCTGAGGGTTAGATCCCTCCGGGAGCTTCCAGTCATACTTAAGAAGAATGTGAGCCAGCGCAATCTTGATCTCGTTGGCGGCGAAGAAGCGACCGGGGCAAGCATGTTGTCCATGACCGAAGCCGGGGTGCTTTGAGCTCGTAGAGACCAAGTGTGCGTGCTTCTCCTCGTCGGTAGAGCGCATGTTCAGGAAACGGTAACCGTCGTACTTGCTGGCGTTCTCGTACCACTGCTCGTCCCACATGTGAGTGTTGTTGGCGATGATCTTCTGGCCCTTGCGAATCTTGAAGCCGCTGGAAAGAGTGATGTCTGCGGTCGCGAGTCGGCGCCAGGTGGCTTTAAGTTTGAGATTAGTATCACTGAAGAAGCACTATTCAGGGGATTTGGACTTACAGAGAAGGACGGGCTTCATGCGCTGCGATTCCTTGATGACGCTGTCCATGAGCTTCAAGTTGTAGAGTGCAGTCTTCTTCAAGCCCTCGGCAGGCAAGACCCGAGCCAGTTCGTCGCGCAAGGGCTGGATGAGCTGCGGGTTGCGGGCCAAGTCGATCAAAACCGTCTGAAGGAGGTCGCTCGTGGTGTGGATGGCAACGAGTGAAAGCGTGATCTTACCATAGTAAGTACTTATTTCAAGTCACGAGAAGGGAAAAGGCTCACCTGTTCAGTTGCGGGGTCGTACTTCCTGTTCTTGTAGACTTCCTCAAACCACTCGATGGAGTCATCAAACTGGACACCTTGGGACTTCTTCACCTTACGGCGCTCGAGGTGGGGCTTGAGAATTCTTCGGCAGTCCGCCAAGAGTCTGCGGACTCTCCAGCATGACGGGAGGAACCAGTGGACGTAAGGTCGGGACCATCTGGGGTAGTAACCGAGTTCCCAGCCAACACCGAAAGCGGCAGCAGTATATTCCGACGAGGCCTTGATCCACTCGTCGTCTTGGCAGAGCTCTCCGCCCATGAAGACTCTGGTGGACATGCGGGAGACGACGCGAATGATGTCATCCTTGGGGACCATCTCGTGCCATTCTTATTTCCTATGTTAGCATTCGGCTTCGCGTGTGTTTGAGAACCAGAACTCAGGCCTTACCCTTCTTGTCAGTGAAAATTTGCTTGAGAACAATGGTGGCTTCTTCGGAGATTGGCTTTGTAAGCTTAGCTGCAGTGACACACAAGTCAACTTTGGAGTTCTTTCGGACTTAAACAGGCATGATATCATACTTAGCGCCTTGGTCAAATACTTCGTCACGACCTTGGGTGAATCATCGTTTCCCGCGAAGGGCTCAAAACCGGGGATGTATCCATGAGAGTCCTACACGAATATATGTCAGAAAACTGGTCTTCAACGTTCGTCTGCTCCTACTGAATGGGCTGTATTACATCGCTGGCAGGCGTGATGAAGTCGAGACGCGGGTCACTGCGTAATTCGTGAATAAAATCGGCCGGCAAAACGACTGAAGCGCCCCATTCCGAGTAAAGCTTGTATGGGTTCTTGCCAAAGGTTGCTGTTGCGCGGAGGAAAATGTCTTTGCTCTGTTGTATAAACTCGGTCATGCGGCGTGAGTTGGTGAATTCGAAAGGCTTCAGAGGGTTGATCTCGGGGAGGTTCGGGCCGCTATCGCCCATCGCGTAAAACAACACGATGAACAGGAAGACTGTTACGATGTATGGGATCGGCTTTTCGCTGGGAGATGGGATCGAGTAGGACCCGAGGCCCAACTCGAGGGCTTGAGAAGCCATGGTGGCGAAGGGAGGCGTTCGTCTTGTTGTGATCGTGTTCAGTCGATATCGCACGGTCGAGTTCCACGTTTCTGTGAGTGTGTGTCTGGATGTCGTCTGTTGATGGTATTGAGCAGTTCAGCAATTCGAGCCGGACGAACAGGTTGTGTTATAGTCCCCATCTTTGCGATAAAATATCGTCATGACGGACTTTGCCAAGACCGAAACCGCGATTCGACTCTTAGCAGAGTCTTTAACGAACCCGAAAAGCAACTCCACCGTTGGAACATGCACGCGTCGTCTATGCCTCGTCTACGTATCGATGGGGCCAAGCTTTTTCTCCACTGCGGGTACTACTTCCGACCGAAGTGCCGCCCGTTATTGCATCCCAGTGGCGGGAAGTCTGAAAATCGCTGAACGTTAGGTAAGGTTGTCTGGCTAGCGTCCGTGGATTCCACGGGGCGCGCGTGGGGGATGCGGACGGGAGTCGGCAGATGGGGTCCGTATTCGTATCTCGGAGAGTTGCCAAAGGCGTCCGAGTGCCCGACAAGTGGGCCCGCCGCCGATCTCGACCGGGAGATGGATAGAGTTGCCGGCGGCGTTCGTGCTTTGACCAGAGATTTACGATGGCATTTCCCTGTCACGACCAATGAAAGGAAGGTTGATTGCGTGCGTCATGCAACCATCGTTTAAACTGGTGGAACAACAGGCTTGTTCACGTCTGTCATCCGAGTTTAAATGGCCCGCTTTGGGGTTTTCCAGGTCATCCAAAGACATGCGCCGTGATTCGTCTAATATGTCCGCACCGACGCTCGGATTGATCCTTAGTGAAGCCATGATTTCCAGAGTCAATCGATATTTATTTCTCAAGTATTGTGCATCACTGCATGTGCAGAAGGATTGAGGCCTAAAGCTGATGGTCCTCCATCCTCATCACAGGCCTTCAGACCTCGTGGTAACATCGCTCTCCACGTCTTGCGCCCTAACTTTCTGCGCCCTATGTATTGAGAACCCTTAGTCGAGCGAGCTGTTGCGAATGCGAGATGTAGCTCTTCGGGGTTCGAAGCGGACGCCGCTCGCGGTCCGTCCCGTCAGCCACCGACGCCGTATTCCGCAACTTTCGCTTAGTTGCCGGCGCCTAAGTGGAAGTTAAGTGAGGCTTTGTTTCAACCGATTAAAACCGGTGTTAACATTCTCGATGTATGAGGGCTTTTTGTGCGAATCAATCAAGATAAACATCGCACTGCTAATGACTTGTAGGTCTGTCTGGGAAACGTAAGTGTCTAGGAGAGCTCAGACAGACAGCCATCGGCCCGTCCAAGGACGCCGGCATCGCGTTAGGATGGTCTCAACGAACTAGACTGAGAAACGAGTCAGATGGAAATATCTACAGCCCGTCGGGTCACACAACGGAACCCGGTGTTTGCCTCCAGAGGTCGTGACACCCGAAGGCCTTGTTCGTGCGATTAGACGATGGACAGGTTTCTTGGCCTATATCCATGTTCCTTTACAAGTGGATGGCTTAGGTATAAAATTAGCATGAACAAAGTTTATTGTGGTTCGTCACGCTAGACGAGTAGCACCAGTGGCGGAGTTTCTGTCGACAGGTTTTCTCACGGACGACATAGTTCTCCCCGCAGATTATCGATGTATGTGTACTGGCAACCCAAAGAACGTTGAAGGAGACTTGCGTGAATAGGCGTACTACAAAGCCTAAAGTACCTCTAGTGATCGACGTAGATATTGAATGTATTTCTCGGTGGCGGACTTTTTCTTTCTTACGGGCTTAGCACTACTTCCTCGGGCCTCTGTCACTTTCAGAACGCAGACAAAAAGGGGAGTTGGTTTCTCAGCCAACGTATTAGAATGCCCAAACTAGAGTCGGCAGCGTTGGCCAATCATATATACCCAGGTTTCGAAATGAGCAGTAAAAGTATGCGCCAATCATTTGAGATCGGCAGCAGTAGGACGCCGTACGAATAGCCAGCCGAAGACTTAGTATTTATGCATCATTTATCATTTCAAGTTGAGCCTAGTAATGCCGCTCATCAAAATCTATCCCAAGCATGGCAAACCCGTCGCCTTTGCATGTGAGGGCAGTACAATAATTTCCGAACGCCGATTCATAAAAACATAGCTCCCTCCCAAGAACTTAGAAAGGTCGGCAAGGGGGGTCAACAGCGCCACATCGCTTGCCAGTTGTGGACGTGGAGTCAGCTAAGATTTGTGAGCAACTACAAAGCTTTAGAGATAAGTCGGACGAGAGTACATACTCTTGCAGATGAGAGGTGTCTTATTGTTAAGACATCTAATGCAGTCGGCATCATTGCGGCATTCACCTACAAGAAATTAAAACGTTAGTCTTCCTACGCACGACCGACGGACTGGTTGAGGGGGTCATGTAAAACAGCGAAACCTCGCTTCAAGGACCACGTACCTCCAATACCGCGCTGCGCAACGACAGCGGAGACAAGGAAGGGCAGGACAGCGACGAGAGAGAAACGCATGTTGATGTTGGTTGCTAATGGCAGGGATGTTCTTTTGGCTGAAAACGATTGATGAGATTGATGAGTTTGGACGACAAGGTATAGCTTGAGACTGGATTTCATTAAGAAAACAACATGGTGATGTTGATGACTTATATATGGCTGTGGTCTGATGTGTCTAAGTCGGAAGGTATGAGTTGGGTCGACGATATTTCTCCCCGAGTCATGTCAACAAATTGGCCCTTGCTGTCTAACGAGAGAGCGCGCTGGTGCACAACTCATGCTTGACTCGAACGTCAAACACTGAGGTTGGTTACGGAGCAGAAGCGTCTGAAAGGGCAAACTCTATTTCATCAGGTGTCACCTCCTCATATTACACCATAAAATGGGATGAGTGAAAACACCAGACGGCAATCAGATGAAAAACACGTCAAACGGCCAAATCAGCGGCATTGAATTATTATGCGGCGTATCCGAACATCATCATTCTTAATGGACGGTGTTATTTCTGAACGAAAAGAAGATATCATGGCGTTGGCGCTGTTGGGAAGACTATGGACACATGCGCTCAAACACGGAGACCATGCATCGGCTTCGATTCCGAGATCGACATAAAACAGGACGAACGTGAAGATTGGAGACAGACCTCAGACGACCCAGAAAATCCCAAGACAGAAAGCCCAGAAACCCGACAATTTGGACAAGTTTGCCGATCTGCCCCATGCATTCCCACCAATCATGATTCGTATTTTCTCGAATGATGATGCGAGTACGAGTTGATTGGCCTGGACATCAGCTGGCAGAAGACCTACCCGAAACCCTCGCACCTCGGAATGACCGCAATTGAGTCATGCCATCTCACCAACTCGGGAGGTCTGAGGCCCGGCATATGTCTTCCGTTGAGAAGAGTCGCAGCAACTCGCCGTGTTCCTCCGGGTGGGAGCTGAAACCAAGAATCATCTACCGCGATTTAGCATGCTCGGTTTTACACGGCGACTATGTGCGCCATTTGGCGGTAAGGTGGTAGGTACGGTGTAAGATCTGCAACGCCTAATGGATCTGGTTTCCCGTCCAGCGCCCGCAAGCAGCGGAACAGCCTCTGGAGACCGGTCTTGACTGTGTGCTTCTCCCCACCGAAGCTCAGGCGGAACCACCCAGGGGCTCTGGCGAAGAATGCCTGCCGCGCATCAGAGTTCATGTCAGCGTTGGGTGTTTCCGATCTCGTCTGAAGAGGAGACAAGTTCCGCTGACGTACCTTTCCGGGCTCCAGGAATACTCCGTTCTCCATCAGGTGCTCTAAAAGTTCCAACTCGCCATCCTTGCCGTGTTGTGCGAACAGCAAGTCCATCCAGTCGGAGAGATCGACGAACATAAAAAACCCTGAGTCGGCCTTCATGTATGGAATGTCATACTTGTCGAGCTCGCCCTCGACAAGGATTCGCCTCTTCTTGAGTCGGCGGTTGAACGTTGGTGTGTAATGGTCTCTGAAGTACTTCTTGTCCGACAGCAGCTTTGCCGCAATCGTCGCGCTGTACGATGAGACCCAACCAAACATGCTGGAGACTATTAGCAAGGGTCTGTAAACCAACTGACTGGCTGAACTAACCTTAAAGTTCGCATGGTATCGTGAATCTCCTGGTTGTACGTGGCAAGGAAGCCAATCCTGAGACCGCCAAGTCCAAAGTCCTGCAGTTTGTGTCGTTAGCATCCTCGTCTCCGGGGACAAAGCTGATTCAATTTTCACGCAGTGGGGACAAAACGCGAGATTGCCGCAACTTACTTTGCTCATCCCCCACAGGACGTGCACGTTTCTGAAGTTCGTGTCCAGGCCTAGACTCAACATGCTCGAAAAGGTGTCTCCGGTCATGGCGTATATCTCGTCGACAACGAGATGCACTTTGTACTTGGAACACAGTTGCGATATTTGCAAGAGAACATGTGCGGAATAACACCGACCCAAAGGGTTCTCTGGGTTCGCAAGCAGAACGCCGGCAACCTTCCGACCTTGACTCAACTCTCGCTCGATTGCATCTTCCATACGAGCCACAATCTCGCACTGGCGAGCTCCGTCACCATTACTTATGGGTTGTCCGGTGAATCGATCATCAGGTATGTCATCGCATGGGACTTCGACAAGCCGCACTTGATTCCTTGTGGAGATGTCGTGGGCGAACATGCCATAGCTAGGTGTTGGAAGCAATATCGAGTCACCCTCATCAGCGATGTTGTAGGTCAACGTGTCCAGCAGTGTTGTGGCTCCATTTGCTACTAGGATGTTGTCCGAAGTCAGTGGGATGCGGGCATTGAAGTGTTCGTTCATGAAGTCGGCGGCGGCTTTGAGGAGCTCGGGGGAGCCTCGGGTGTCATTGTATCCGAGACCTGCGACCAAAGGAAATCGTCAAATGCAGGTTCACATGCGAATCATTCTTCGTTGGGAAGCCTACCATCTTTCAGTTCCCCCTTCTTCAGGTTCCACCTGGTCCAGCTGGCAATGTCTTCCAACATCAGCTCGTTAACAGCAGAGCCGAGGTCAATGATCCCCTTTGGGTTCTTTGACGGATGATACTGATCTTGTTCCACCCTCCGACTGAGATCGATCATCAGATCCGGCTGGACATTCCGTCTTCCCCGACGTGACGGCGGCAAGGCGTGACTGGTAGACATGACGGCTTTGCTGTAAGTGAAGATTTGGGGTTGACTTGAGGCCTGACTTTGAACTTTCCTCCTGCCAAAAATTACTGGAAAACAAGGCATCTTACCGACATATTTGTACAGTGACTCTTCGCAAGACTTTTTAATTCTTGTTAGTTGCCTGACTCCCGGGACCCGCTAGGCCAAGCCACGGACCGGGGTCGGCCGACCCGCACCGCATGCCCCACCCATCTTCTTCCCTCAAAATTGCCTGTTCGGGAATACAATTGCGACAGTTACCTGCACCGCGGTTGTTGTTAGCTCCTTATGTTGACTCACTCTCCCATTCCATCATGATCCTGTGGAGGGCGTCACCGAAGTCTGATGGCGCAAATTTTACATTTGTCATCTGCGAGCGTTTCTCCGGTTTCTTGGTCCATACCTAGCACTGTCCCCAGCCTCTGTCGCGTTCTTTTGCGAATGTGATGGCGTCCCCACGCTGGCTTACGCGCATTTTAGCTTGCGCGGCCCTCACCAATCATGTCGTCGGCGCCGTTGCAACAGGCTACAGGACGATTGAGTCGGAGTTTAGTGACCATTCAATACGCGTCAAAAGTTGGTCGGCTGATGACGCGCTTCTTTGTCACGCAGGCGCCAGGCAGCACACTGGTTGGGCAGATATCGGTGAACGCCATCTGTTTTTCTGTCCGTCTTACCACACCTCTTTCTCGTAGAGACAAAAGTACTGATGCGTGGCATGCAGGGTTCCACGAAGCAAGACACGACGAGCAAGATGCACCCTTGATGATTTGGTTCCAGGGTGGCCCGGGCGGTAGTTCTCTGCATGGCATGCTTTACGAGAATGGACCCTGCCTCAGCGACGGTGCCAACGGGACCGAGTTTAACCCTAATTCGTGGACGGAGCACTTCAATATTATCTACCTCGACCAGCCTGCCGGTGTCGGGTTCTCTTATGTGGATAATTATTCCGACGAGACATCGTATCCCTCCCGTGCCGAAGAATCTGCTCTCGATGTTGTCAGCTTCATCAAGCTCTTCTACGAGGCCTTCCCCGACTTCGCCGATGCTGACCTTCACCTGGCCGGAGAATCATATGCCGGAAGATACATCCCGTCAATCGCATCGACGATACTTGAGTACAATGACTTTTTGACCTCAGCGCCCGATGTCAGGGCTGCTCTAGCAACTATACCGCTGAGGTCGCTGATGCTAGGAAACCCATGGATCAGCCCCGCCGAACAACTAGCCTCGATGTACGACGTGTCTTGCTTTCCGTACCGGAACCAGTTTGATACTCACCTGGAGCCCGAAGACTGTGCCAGGGCGTTGAAAGCTGTTGATAGATGTGAGGCAGTCGCTCATGCATGCGCATTGGGAGATAATGACCCAGTCCTCTGTGCTCAGCCGAAAAAGCTATGCCAAGACGATTTCATTGGCATTTTTGCTAATGTGACAAGAAGCTACTATGACAGACGTCTTCGCAATTGCCCGGGTCCTCAGGACTGCTATCCGGACATTGCCAAGATGGTTGACGTTCTTAACTCCGACAAGGTGTTCAGGGATCAACTCGAAGTTCCAACTCAGACCGGTGGTCGAAAGAAGGGATGGGATATGATGAGCCCACTAATAGAAAGACGGTACTTCGAGTCTGGTGACTTTTACACACCCGCCATCAAAGACCTGCAAAAGATTATCGACCATTCTCAAACCTCCATTCGTTCGAGATGGCAAGGTGTTGTGGACGTGCTGGTATATGTCGGTGTAGCCGATATCATTTGCAACGCCGAGGGTGTCTTGGAGGGCCTGAAGAAGGTCAGATGGGCTGGCCGAACCCCTTTTAGAGCGAGTCCATGGCAAGAGCTGCCATGGAATGCGTCCAAGGGTGGACGCGGTGGGAGGATCAAGAATACTACCGGGCTTTGGCTTGCAGAAATTGAGGAAGCAGGACACATGGTAAGGCAGTTTGTTCGGATCATCACGTATATCCTTTTGACGAGTTATGCAGGTCCCTCACGATCAGTCGGCTTCATCACTCAATCTCGCCGAATATTGGCTGAAAATTTCGAGAACTACCGGCGGCGGCACAAAGGCTTTTGTGAGCCCCAATGCGGAAGATGAACTGATGGATCAAGCGAAAGTAAAGGGTGCCATTGATGGTGTGCTCGAGTTGCTCAAGCAAGACATCGCAGGTGCGACGGATTTGTAGCTATGTTTAGACACTCAATCCTGAGAAACAACTTTTGCCGCACCCATTGGCTCGGTTTCAATTCGCTTTGATAGATAAACATGAAATGTTTAAACTTCTGTCTCGGAGAGGCGGAATGAAGCCGAAAAGTCACGCTTGGGCCCGTTTATCCGGCATTGGACGGCGGAAACTCTACGGTGGGGCAAAGCCGTTCCGTCCCTGGTGGGGTAGCAGGGGGCTTTTCCGGCTTCGGCTACTTCAATCCGGATGCCGGATATCTTCAACGTTCGGCAATATTGGCCGCTCCAGACACACCTTTGTTGTCTCCCAGAGCCCTCTAAACCGAAATGTTGCCGGTGATAGCTTCTCCCGAGATGGACTCTCCTGTGTCTCAGCATGCTGCTTCGCATAGCCCTGCAACTCCAAAGAAAAGTCCGCGGGCTAGGGTACGAGTTGGCCGAGCCTGTGACTACTGCAAAAGGTACGAACATTCCTCGAATCGGGAAATTTGATGTCGCGGCAGAGGGTCAGTGGGCATATGAATGCTGACTTTCCTCAAGCAAAAAGATTCGATGCACCGGAAAGCAGCCCTGTCCAAAGTGTGTTCAAGAGGACATCGTTTGCGAGTTTAAAGCCCCATATGCCAGGGGTAAGCGAAGGCCTCGCCCCAACTTGGGGATTCCGTCCGAGTCACCCTCGATCTCACCCTATCCTCTTTCAACTGCCCAGAGAGTTCAAGATACCCTGCCTGAGATCCATGACCATGGTTCAGCTAGCATCGCAATTGAGAGTGGCTCATGTGAGGGACAAGAACTGGGAAATGAAGCTTCGCCAGAACCGGGTGAGAGTGATCGCCAGGGTCATTTTGTTGGCGCTTCATCAGGACTTAGCTTTCTTCTCCGCTTGCAACGACGCTTGAGAGAGAATAGTGGTGGATCAACCGAAACTTCAGTCTTTGCTCTCGGCGATCCTGTTCTGCCTCAATTCGACAACGGTGCAGTCGTTTTACCCCGGAAAGAGAAGGCGGACAGCTTACTGAAGACCTACTTCGAGCTATCCTCGCCAACGTACAGATTCCTTCACAGACCTACAGTTGAGGGTTGGTTGGAAGAATTGTACCAAAATGGCATGGTTTCGGCACCTCACTCTAGAAGTAAATATGCAGTCATCATGACCATGTTTGCCCAGTCGATTCAGTACATCGAGTCGCAGGGTACTTCTAACGTCAGTAATGGGTGAGTTTTGACCATCAAACGAACACAATCAGGACCGCTCTAATTGCGTTCATAGCATGCTCTACTTTCAGTCTGCCGAACAGGAGCTCAATCGTGAGACAGAACCCGCTACTTTGACGAGCGTCCAAGCTCTCCTCGGTTGTTGCTTCTACATTATGACTCAGTCACGACTCAATCACTGCTGGAGTCTTTTCGGCACAACCTCAAGACTTGTACTTGCATTGGGAATGCACCGGAAGAAGTTTAATCTCGACGGCATAGGCGACAGCACAGGATGCCTCATCGAATCCGAATGCAGGAAACGGACATTCTGGTGTGCATACAACCTGGACAGATACTTGAGTGCCATCTTCGGCCGGCCGTGCGCCTTTCATGATGACGATATTGACCAAGAGGCCCCTGACCTCATTGAGGATCACGCTTTGGGCAGTACATCTGTGGATGTCGCCAGTCGAAGAGCTATGAATATTATGCTGGGTCCCCTAGCACACCAACAGCTGGCTAGGATACTGAGCAGGATCTTGAGACAGCTCTATGGCATCAGCTCGCTGGATGGGACAGAAAGGCACGAAACGATGGCCAGACTGGGCGCTGAGATTCAAACCTGGCGAGACCAGCTCCCAGCTTTCCTTAATCCGGACAAAGTCGACTCCCGCATCCTGCAACCAATCTACCAACGGCAGAGCAATACTCTGAGCCTCGCGGCTGGACACTGCCTGATGCTCATTTATCGCCCATGTCTCTTCAACGACTACACAAAGTCCAGTCATGATAAGGGGACGAAAGAAAATGTCAAGAGATGCGTTGACGCAGCCTTGAGTGTCGTGACCATCATTGACTACATGGTCGAGTCGAAGCAACTGTATCCCTCGCTCTGGTTTGCACCGTATCAGGCGTTCTGCGCAGTGGTTGTGCTGTACACATATACCATTCGGAATCACAAAGACAACCAGGCTCCTTGGAAAGAGCACTTTGAAGCGGCAGAGCGCTGTCAAAGGCTATTGTTCAGCATCACTAGCCCTAGCTCCCTCGGTCGGCGACTATCCGTCATCATGGAGGAATACCGTCTTGAGGTCATAAACCAGGTTCAGCAAAGCTCTCACCCGCATACCAGCAAATCCATTTCGCTGTCAGAAACTGCGCTTGAGCCTGGTGCAACATCGTGGCTCGAGAGCATCGGAACTGAGGATAATCTGTTGGAGCTGATGGATCTTCCTAACTGGGAACAATTGGATTCATTGGTAAGTGACCTGTCATAACTAATATCTGAGGAAGCATACCAGCTGACAATATTGACAAAGGTCCTTGATCTGGGCAGAATCATCCCCGAGCTGGACTTCATGAGCGCCAATGCTGGATTCTGAAGTTCGGGAGCAATCGGCCAAGCCTTTCGGAAACAAAGGGATTGAGTAAGCTGCCTTAGCTGCAGCTATAGTGACCAACTCGACTCTGAGCCTTCTGTATGCCTGTCCAAAACCTCACGTGTAACGAACCGCCAATCCATAGGCCAGCGGATGAAGCATACCCCGCGCCAAGGCTTGGGAGATGTCACATGCGTGATGCTCCGATTGGATCGGGGAATCACTCCCAGTATCAAACCTGTGCAGAACAAGCCCGTGGCCTTTTCCGAGTGCGATATCGGATGTTTGGGCGTGTTTTCGCTGATCTGCTTCGCTACTTTAGTGAGAATCCTATGGGAATAACTTGGGTGCGGGGGAAATCTCAACTCCAGGGCCTCTCACAATCCAAATGTTCCCATCGCAATCTATCAAGCTGAACGTGGGTATATCCATCTCCGAGGTACGCTCACAAGTCTAACTTTAATCAGATGGCGCGACAGGAACAGATTATCAGTGCTATCGAGCCGCTTCATGTAGGCCAGTTCATGTTTTGTCGTATCACGACGACTGAAGGCGTCATTGGCTTTGGAGAGGCTGGGATTTGGGGTCACATAGAAGCAGCTGCGACATGCATCAAAAGATTCGCCGAGTATCTAGTCGGAAAGCGGGCCTTCGACATCGAACACCACTGGAACGTGATGCATCGCTTCAGCTACTTCCAGGGGCTTGTCATCAACGCGGCAATCTCCTCCATTGACATCGCCCTTTGGGACATCAAGGGCAAGGCTCTGGGTGTTCCCATCTATGAACTGCTTGGCGGGGCTTGCCGCACGAAACCTCGGGTTTATGGGCACATTTACGAACGTACCATTGAAAAGGTACTTGACGAGTGCAAGCGGAAGATGGATATGGGTTTTACAGCCTTCGGGCACATCAATCCCTTTCTGGACGAGGGGAACGACAAGGTTTACTTCAAAACACATGTTCAGAAGATGCGAGATGCCATCGAGAATGCGAGGAAGATGCGGGAGGTTGTTGGAGACAAGGTTGACTTGCTCGTCGAGCTGCACCGTCGTCTGACCCCGGCCGAAGCAGTCACCTTCTGCAATGGTATCGCCGACACGTTGCCGATGCTCGTCGAAGACCCGATCAGGCCCGAGAACGCTGATGCCATGGCTCGCGTGGCCGAACGCATCTCCGTTCCGATTGCCACGGGAGAGCGTTTCTGCACCATTTACGAGTTTCAAGCCCTGCTAGCCCGAAACGCCCTCGAGTACGCGAGGGTGGATGTTGCTGTTTGTGGCGGGATCACCGGGGCAAAGAAGGTGGCAGCAATGGCTGAGGCCAACCATGTTCAGATCATTCCGCATAACCCGCTCTCGCCGATAGGACTCGCGGCATGTTTACAAGTTGCCGCGGCTATTCCCAACTTTGCGATCCAGGAGTATGCCACGGGATTCGAGGCTGGAGTGTTTGAGAGCACTTCGAGACATCTTGGCAGCGACATTGTTGATTACGTTCCGACGCCTAAGGAGGGCTTTGTTGATATTCCATCTACGGCTGGTCTCGGGATTAACTTGGTGGCGAACGCACAGGAGATCAGACCGCCTTTCGTGCAGCCTATACAGATGAGACCCCACAAGGATGGATTCATTGTTGATCAATAGATTAAGAAAATGGTCCAATAGCCTCCGCAGTAGCTCGACTTTTGTCTTTGACGTCCTTGGCTGTCTTTCAAGCAAACGCGGTATCTGAAAAGTGGTAATAATCTCGAGCTTTGTGGACCTTTTCCTGAACCAAAATAGTTTGAGGGACAACTCAAAGCTCAACTGTACGCCCTCGACTCGTAGTACTACTTTCTTGTTTAACTCAAGGAACACTCCACACCCTCTAGCCAAGCCAATACCCCAACCGTCGATCTCTGGAAACTACCTGCCACCCTATGTCGTACTTGTCTCATCCCTAGGAGTGGTAGCGTCTTCCCTCCTGGTACTGGGCCCAGGCTCGCAGGATGTTTCGAGCCTGGAGCAAGGCGTTCTGCTCGCGTAGGCGCTGAATCTCGGCTTGCTGTCGACGCATAGCCTCTTGATTGCGGCTGATCATAATCCCCTGGACACGAATGGTACGTTCGTCGGCGTTCAACCATTTCTGATAGTCCCAGAGCGTGTCCTCCAGCTCATCACAATGATCGGCAAGCTTATCGTTCTCCTCCAACAGCTCGTCGTTCTCGTTATCGAGGTCGGCGTATTCTTCCTGCAAATCCTGAAGTTCTTGGTCTCTCTCCTAGAGAGCCTTTGCCAAGGTTTGCTTCTCGGCGTCAAGAGATTGCTTCTCAGCGACGAGAACCTGAACGCGCTCTATCATGTCGGCAGAGGTCAATGCCTGTCCGGCTGTGGCAGCGGTGGAGACAGGGATGGTGCCGCTGGGCTCTGGCTTGATGACTAGACGGACTGTCAGCGCCTCGGTTAAAAAGAAAAGCGACACCAAAAGACAGTTAAACCGACAGTGACGACGAAGACGACGAAGAAGAGGGGGAAGTAAGAAGTCTTACCAGGCTTTTCGCCATCCGACTCCCCATCCATGTCTCCAACCGAGGCGTTCTCCTGGTTCTGCAAATGGTCGCCGGCTGCTTGATCGTGCCGAGGCGGGGCTGCAACCTGAGTGTGACGACGGGAACGGGAGCGAAGATTGTCATACCGGGCTTGGATCTCAATGAAATGGTCGAGCGCCTTGAGGAACTTCTGGACATCGTCGGGCGAGCCTTGCGCAGCGCGCGCAATAGCAGAGACATTGACGCGAGCGTTGGTGAGGATATTCATGACATCTTCCGTGGCCTTGGGGATGGTGGCGCGCTTCCACCTGGGCTCATTGTCCGCGAGCTTCCTCAGGGTAACTTGCCAGACCTCAGTGATGGACCAGTAGTGAATGGTAGGCGTCTGGTCGATGATGGTCGCGGCAGTAGCGAGGACTTGCGTGGCCCGGCGAGCAACAGTCAGCGTACGCTCCGCAGGTGACATGTTGGTACCCTTCTTGGTGCTGTTGATTCCGCAGAGCATAAACATGAAAGCGGGACGAGCCTGGCGGAGTACGAGAGGCTTGCGCCGGTTTGTGGCGACGGTGAGACCGGGCATCGTGCGGATTGTCTGGAACCAAGGACCACAGGCCTTGGTCTCGCAGTTACGACTCTTGCTGCCCATCTTGATGAGGATGACGAGATGGTAGTTTGGAGTTGCGATGAAAACTTGTCGGACGATCTCACGACGGCGGTCGAATTTGTATCGGGAAGGATGGTGTGGATGAAGAAGGATTGCCAGCTGTTGATTGAAACCCAGGTGAGATCGAGTGTCCGGAGAAGTGGGTCCAGAGAGCTCACAGTTCACATTCACCAAGGATAAGGATACCTTAGTGTCGGTACTTTAAGGTAGCTCAGTTTCCTGGAAGCTCCATGAGGCAAGGACACCACGGGCAATGAAAACTTTTATTGATTAATTCTTCTCCTGTGTTACTCAAAATGTAAACCACGTCCCAAAGGATCACGCCCAATATGAGGCTGCTCCAGTCTCACCCTGAGTATTTCGGCAACCGCGAGTTTGGTAGGGAGTCTTCATTGTCAGCGATATTGGATCAAGAATCAAAAAAGAGGAAGAAGGTAGCAAGAGAGTGCGATTCGAACACGCAGACTACAAAAAGGACCTGCGAGAGTGTCGCATGACTTGGGCAGTAAGGCTGGCCAGGCCTAAACCACTGAGTCAAACTTACTCAATCTACGATCGGAAACCATGTAGCAGAGCGGGCGAGACAACTGCCCTAAATACCCACACCGTGAGCTGAGGTTGCTCAAACACAAGGTGAGAGGTGAAAGGGATGTCCCCACAATTGACCACCCGCGACCAGTCACACGGCTCGCTTGGTGTTCGGCCTGAGGACAACGCATCTTGCGGCCTTGTTCACCTCGGGAGTCTCTTTGAGGACGAAGGAACTCCATTCCTGGCGACATGTGTTATTATGGAATGGTCATTGTTGTACAAAGAGAACAACAGCGACCAAAAAGACAGTCGTGCTCAGCCCCAAAAAGAGGCTGCCCAATCTCTTGCCGATTTGATCCAGCTGCGAAGCCTTCCTGAGTCGTCCTCCTCCGCAATCCTGCTATTCTCGACCAAGCTATGTTGAAGCTTTCGATTCTCAGCCTCCAGCATCGCAATACGCTGCTCATAACCAGAGGTCAAAGACTCAGCCTGGTTGGAGGCTTCAGTATCTTCCGCCTTAACCTGACGAATCTTGTTAGGCGGCTCCACATCTTCGTCTGACGGGCTTATCTCATCATGCGACCTCTTCGGAGGTCTCTGAGGTTTCTCATCTGTCGCGGCTGTATTGATTTTGTTTAGCATGAAGTATATTGGCAATATGTTCGCAAAGACTTACCGGGTTCCATCGATTCGTAAGTCGCTTTGGGCTCATGCCCTGGCTGAATCCAAACCGAAGCTTCAATCCATCTGTCAAGACTAGCCAAGAAAGGGCGGAACCCCTTTGGAAGCTTTATCGGGCGCTGACCCCGGAGGTGGCCACGACGAAGATCACTCCTCCTCAGGAACAGGTTGCGGGCTCCCACAAGGCGGGTCATGCACTTGGAACAATCTTCCACAGAGACAGCGACCCACTGCTCCCTGCCAGTCCTTGCCCTTAACCGTTGCATGGCTTCCCGAAGAACCTCGTTCCATTGACCGACGCCGCGAGATTCTGTGACGACCTCTACACAGACATCCGTGAATTTCTTGATATTAGCGGCAAGCAGAAGCTTGTTGTTGTGAGACGGGAGAGCTGGACCATCAAAGAACATGCGCCAACCAGCCTGGCCAACTCGAGTCACAGGGTCGCCGATCTCGCCTGGGAAGCGGAGACCTGGCAGCCTGCGCAGGTCAGGATGGCTCGCATAGTAGTTGACAGGGTCCGTTTGCTCTTTGAATATCTCTTGTTGAAGTAGGGACCAGTCCGCATCCAACTCTTCGTGCTCCGGAGTGTGGCTGACAGGATCGCTTGGCTCGTTGGGTGTCCCTTCGTTGAGCCTAAGCCAGTCCTTAACAGCCTGTTCATCGTCCTGAATCTGGCTGACAGGGACAACCCCGATTGCTTGCGAGTAGTCCACCTTCTCATTTTGCTGAGTATTGGCATCAGTCATCCTGCAAGTCGCGAGCGCTTTTGTTACGAGAAACAATCGAGAAGAGACTTGGTAGTACTTAGCGGCTTCAGCGGGGGACGGCGATTACCGAAGACGATGACGGATATTGACGAAAGGTGAGGATAGGTAATGGGACAACATCGACCAAAAAGCCTTCTGAATTTAAAGGGAAGATATAGTCGACAGAAATTATACACAAGGTTCTACGGAAAAGCTTGCTCTTTTGGCCCAGAGATGTTGCGAAGTCTAACAGATATCCACCCAACTCAAAAAAAAAAAAAGGTGAAGAGTAACCAGGAAGGTAGGTCCTCCGTGGTCTCAATTTCAAGTAGTACGGTTCATAAATAGTCGATCAAAGTGGGTAGGTAGCCATTAGATTCCTTGGGTTTCTGATACTGAGAACGCACTACAAATCCTTCACGACCCCAGGACAGGCGCTCCGATTAGCGAACGCAGTCTGGGCCCATGATGCAGAACATGGCCACTTCAGATGGTATCCAGCTTCGAACGCCCAAGGCCAATCATTCAAGAGTCCGTTCCGAGATCCAAGCTGTCAAGATAAATCCCTGCATCATCTGCCCCCCACGAGAGGCCCTCCATACCATTGGCCTCCAAACCACTGTTCAGCTGGCGTCGGTGGGCTTGCCAAATCTTCGAAAATGCTTCTTTGAACCTGCAGAGCTCCTTCTGCTTGTCCTGAAGGGACAATGTCGTGCGTGCCTTCAGTGTTTGTTTGGTAACAAAGCGTGTCTGCAGTTGACGGTTTTCCTTTTCGAGGCGCTCAATCCTGCTCGACATGACGTTGCATCTTTCCTTATATTTGCCCAGAACATCCTCCTTCGCTGCAACGGAGTCAGTTCCGTCTTCTTTGATGACCGGCGTCGGAGCACTGGTAGAGCTTGCGAGGAACCTGGCGTGCGTCGATCCCTGCACGAGACAAGGATGAAGCGACTGCCTGCTCTCCGGGACGACAGGCCGGATTGAGCGGGCTGGGATGGGTTCTTGTACAGGCTCTTGCGTCTCTGCAACATCGACCGATTGCGAGGTTGATGGTGTAAGGATGTTGTCGTCTGAGGATGCCTCGCTGGCGGGAGCCTTTCTGTCCATTTCTTCGAAGAACGTTAGTGGATTCAGCAGACTTAGATTGGCAACTTACCGTCACCCAGGAATCCGTATTTAGATCCGTCAACGAGCGTGTAAGTACAATCTAGTAGGAGCAAGCGGGTAAGGTTCACAACCTGTCCGAGACCTCCACATGCAGGTGCTGGGCCAGTCCCCATCCTTTGCACGAAGGCATTCCGAGCAAGGACGAGTGTATTAATGATTCCAAAGACGAACTTGAGCCGGTCACCCAGGGGATAGCTCTTATAGACTTGCTTGGCCGTGAAGGAGTAGAACGACTGCTCGATTAGTGACTGATCAACATCGGAAGCGAATCTCTCGGCGAAGACAGGCCCCTTTGGGAGCCTGCCCAGCTCCTGATTAATGACGTTAACATAACCCATCAGCCTTAGTTCAACTTCCCCCTGGGTGTCGGGAGTAGAATCGTCGAAGAAAATCCCAAACATCTCCAGGCTGCGTCCACGGAACAGGTCTTTCCACTTTTCGTTCTTTGGAAACCTCAGGCCTGACAGAGAGTGAATGTGTGGGTGATCGGCCCATTTGAGCTTCTCAGCTGCCGATGTTTCGGGCATGGCGGGTAGGAGTTTGGGCAAGCAATGTGCGAAGACTGTGGTGATTTTCGGAGATAGTGGGGGAAAAAATGAATAATTGGCTGTGGTGGTGTGAAGAGGGAGAGGAGATGCCCCTGCCACCTGCAAGGCAACTCGCGCCGTCGTCGTATACCCCATAGATGGCCATAGAGGTTTCTCTAGCACAGACCATCCTGGCCCTCAACTGTTTCCCCGTGAAAGTCACGCGGCAGTCAAAAGATGCGCCTCCAGGCGGCAAACTGCGAAGAAGAAAAGCTAGCAGGGAAGAAAGGATGTCAATTCTGGATCCTTTCTATCTGGTACACCAGCGTTATCAGGGTCTCTCCGCAAAGGTTTGTGGTCTGTAGAAGCGACAGCGGTGTGGTGTATAAGCCTGTTTCCTGACCCTGAAGGTTGCCCCAAGTCTTCGGAACAACGTCACTTGACCTGGATGGTAAAACAACACCAAGATGCCAAGTGCCACCACAACCTGAATTAGCCCAGCGACCAAAGCTTTGACAGGATATCCCGGACAGAGTTAGACTGGAGAAGTCTGCAGTCGCAGTGTTTCATCTCTGACCGATCAGTCGAAGAGGTCCTCCCTCATGCTGTCGAGCCCAAAGCCCGCAACAGCATCACCTCTTATCAACGGAAGCAAAGCAATCCATGACAAACGTTTCCCTGAAGCTCCCTTTTCCGTTGTAGTCGCCAAAGCCCGCCATCGTATGCGGGGTGAGGATGCACCAAGGATCAGAGTCCTCTTCAACCCCCGTCATGAAGAACCTCATAGCCCGCCCACGCAGCTTCTCCCTTAGCCAGTACTCCATTCTTGCCTTCGTGTACACCCACGAGACCATCTCCGGGGCCGTCAGCCCGTTGGACAGGACCTTTGGAATCAAGTAATCGAGGATCGTTCTGGCAAAATTTGTGCTCTCGACCAGGAGTGCCACCCAGCGGACGAGAACGTCGATACGAAGGACCGTGAACTGCTGCTTCTGGAGCACGTTCATACCGCAGATGATGCCGAGGGCTACTTTGCCCCACGCCTCCGTCGCAGCTGCTGAGACAGAGGGATCGTAGACAGAGCGGAGGTTGCTGATGCTCATCCGAGATATCAGGTACAGCAAGTAGTCCATGGCCTTCGTGTTGTCGGAAAATCGGTACGTGATGACGGGCTCGAAGGTGGGACCGGTAATCGTGTCCCCATCGGCGCCGACTCGGACAATAGGTAGGTCGCAGTCGCGCAGGCCTTTGTGCCACGAGTCGAGGTGCTTTGAGAAGGTATCGCATTGTTCCAGTACTTTTTCCGACGTCAGATCCTCCTTGTAAAAGTCGCCCCTCTGAAAGTTGCGGTGGTCGGACTTTCTGTTGAGCACGGAGCAAAGCCATCTGGCTGCCCTCTCAGACGCGCTTGATCCCTCAACGGTGTTGTCATTGAGGAAGCTGGCCTCCATAGCGTTTCTCGAGTAAAGGCTGAAGACTCTGGACATGACATCTCGGATCGCCAGCTGAGGGTCGAGGAAGCTTGCGCTGTCATAATTGTCGACGGGGTTGCTTGACTTACGGGTCGGTGTATACGTGTATCTAATGTCGTAGCGGAGCATCCGCCATGCTTTGAAGAGGTTCGGCATTGACGAAGCGGCAAAGTCCATCTTCGAAGCGATGGCGTCGAGACCGCTGGCGTGGTTCCTGAGGCCAAAAGCCGTGCCTGCCTCCAATTCGTGGTACGCGAGAAGGAGGGCTGCGCCGGCCAGCTCTTCGCTGCTCTTGTTGGAGCGCTGTATTTGCAGCTGAAGGTCCTTCACCGCTGTGTCATAGTAGACCCAGACGCATTTGTCGTCACATATCCGCCGTAGGCTCTGAAAGTCCATCGGCAACCGCTCTGCCAGTTTCAGATGGCTCGCTGACAACGCCAGGACTGCCGCTCGGAAACAGCTGCTCGATTGGAACAGGTTCGAGAAGGCTAGCGCGACGGGGATGGCGGGAATGACGTTTGTGTCGAAATGCTGTACAAGTGACTCTTCGAGGGGTAGCGAGATCTGGAGGTCGGTGGTAGGTTCACCCAGAAGGGATTCCTCGGCAGATGATGTGTCGAGTGGCGAGTCGTGAGACACGAGGAACTCGTCCCAGTTGGCAGGTGTTAAAGCCTCTGGTGAACTTTGCCGCGGCGAGGTAGTATCGTCGGAGGCACGTCCAGGCAGCGGAGTCGAAAGACTTTCGATGACGGTACCCAGCACAGGAGCGACCTCAGGGAACACCTGCGACGGCGCATTGTTGGGAATATCGAAGAGACCCCAGGGCAGCGCGAACGCGCCTCCAGACCAGGTTTCAGTCGACATGAAGTTGGTAGACGGTGCCGGCGCCGGAACAGACGGGGCCTGAGCGCTGAGCGCCGCTCCGATGATGATGTCTGGGCGAGCAACTTCGGACGACGCCGTCTCCGTGGCCGTCATGCGACGCTTTCTCCGCGCATCCTCATGTCGCAGCGCCGACCACCGAGCGGCCTCGAATTTTCGTGACGACTCTGCGGCCAAGGCGGTCACGTCTTTGAAGGCGACGGTGCGATCATAGCCGCTGCACTTGATGCCGCGACGGACGCAGGCGGAGCACTCGGGGCGCGTCTCGTCACACTGCAACAGGTCAGCCCGCGGTTGTTTGCAAGAGATGGGCGCGTACTAACCTTGCGTCGTCTTGTTTTGCAGTTTTGGCATCCGGTCCGTTTTCGGACGATGTCTGTCTTCTTGGGTCGTGATGATTGCGTCTCCATTGGCGTTCGACCAACGGCTCTGTCACCGCTCAGCGCAAAGGGTTTTGCTATCGAGTGCTAGAAAGCTGTCGTTGAGGATTGCGTAGCGGGCTTTGGGGGAAGGAAGCTGTCGACTCTGAAGATGCAACATGAGGTCGGTTTGATCTGTTAGGAAGGATGGTTGGCATTTTGGCCGGTAAGCCGGCAGGCAGATTGTGCCGATGGCGGTATGTAATCTGACTGACAGGACGGGATCCAGCATGGCGGCGTCGGGCGAGTTGCTCGTGTCGGGCGCACGACACTGAACTAGTGGGGGCACAAAATCCCCACAATGCTGACCTTGCGTTGTCGCGGTTGGCTGCAGATAGCAGCGACAGAATGGCACTATGCCTGAACAGGCTCACGGGTGCGACGCTACTCCTGTTTGGGCTGAGCTGCCCGCTGCTTTTCAACGTTGCGCATGAGAACCGGGAGGCGTGATTTTCAATCGTGACTCTCGGTTCTTTTGATGCTACCTCATTTGCCTGCATCTTTGCAGTCGTACTTCCTGTTCACTGCGTATCCGAAGCCTCGAAGCTTTTGCTTCGATGAAGGAGTGACAGTTATTAGGGACGACAATGGCAGACGACAATGGCAGACAACGTTAATTAGCGGACGACGGCGGCGGCAGCGACAAGAATGATGGCGGACGAAGATGAGCTTGGAGTTCTCAAGGTATGAATGCGCTATATTGACTACCTTGAGTTTAAAACTCCTGGGACCCTGGCACCCTGTCACGTTGTCTGAAACCAGCCGTGATGCTCCGCAGCAATCGCTTCTTAAGTGGTGAACGTAGCGCCATGTTCATGGATCAGCGACGTGATGAGTTCATAGGCCTTGCATTCGGCGTCTGGGCTGGCCTGCCTGATGAATGCATCTTTAAGTAAGTAGCTATACGCGCGGCTGACTCCTGGCTCGTCTCCGGAGCCAAGGTGAAAGATGTTCTGGTACGTCTGGTTGACATTGAGTCCGTACTCGATGCAGGTTGAAATCACCTCCATCGCTCGTTCCAGTTTACTGCTGGGTAAAGAGAATAGGTAGCGAGCAATGAAGGCATGGAAGTGTATGCTCCGCCGAGTGATGACCGTTTCGTATGCAAATCCAGCACCCCTTTTCAGAAGCATGCGGAGAAGATCTATTCGGCCGTGGTACGCTGCGGCCTCGATGGGCGTCTGGAACGGAGGGGGGCCTGACTGATGCTCGAAGAAGGGTAGTCTTGTTGAAAACTCCGGATATGTGCCATCTGGCAGTGATCCTGCTTGTAAAAACGTTGAAAGGCCGTCGACAGTTATGCCCCTTTGAATATGCTAGATAAGAAGGGGTTCAGACTTTGTCTTCTTATGATCGTCGATTGGCAGCCCCGGGTCTATTTTTCGAAGAGCTCGGATCATGTCGCTACTGCTCGCAAGATGAAATAGGGTAAGGTCTCCGAGAACTTCCGTCTCTTCATGATCATTGAAGCACCGAATGACTCTGGTCAATGGTCTCTGCTCTTCAACCAGAAGACTCAGGACTTCCACGTGACCATTCTTGACAGCGTATTCTACCAGAGTTGGATCTATTATTTCATACGTGTATACCACGCTATTGACTCCACAGGAATGGGTTTCTTCGCAGTTGCACTGAATGATTGGATGGCGGAGCCAAATGTGTGGAAGTCGGGATTCAATATCGTCGATCTTATATCCACGCCTCAATAGGTGTCGTGCGAAGTCGACGTCGCCTTTGTGTATGAAAGCCCAAGACATCGCTCGATCGAGGCCACGGGCTAGATCGAAGTGGATAAGAGTATTGGCTGTGGGGGTTATTGGGCTACTTTTGTCGCTGTTTATGAGTCCTCCTCGAAACGCTAGCGCTGAGCAGGTTCGATGCAGGCTTGATATATCAGGGAGACTAAGGTGATCGCAGATAAGAAAAATGCAGTCTTTTGCCAAAGTGGTAATGTCGAGTCTCTGATGGGTTTGCCGTCGTGGCTGGCTGAGTGCGTAACCTACTTGCCTGTTAGAAACAATTTGCGGATCTTTGAAGCCTTGACGCACGGCTGCCATTGGAGAAGGCCAACATGGTCACAAATCGAGAAGCTCGATGTGCTGAATCTGATGCTCATATGTGACGCTGAATGCAACGGTGGAAAATAATGGATTTGTGGATGTATGGAGGACGTGAACAGACCTGGGCTGACGTCTGATGCGTTTGGTTTGAAGCCTTCAACCGGGTGGTCAAGGCAGAAAGAAGGCTGCCTCGTCTTTGCATCGATTATCGCTCCTGCTCCCACACCCATGTGCCTTTCGAGACTGGCGGTAATTGTACTCCCGCGGCTCGCCCCTTCCTCACCACCAATCTCTCTGTGGTGTCGCCGCCCGCTGCCTTTCGCTGTTATTCGTCCCACTCCAATAAGTTGCTCGTGACATCCACCACCCCAGCTGCGACTGCTTGGGCGGAAATGTTCACATCTTGTGAAATACCCAACTGGAGAAGCTTCGACCGACAGACTGATACCTGCTTCGACACCGCAATCCTTCCGAATTCCCCCATTTGGTACGCTTTCAACTGCGATGAGGCGGTCTGATTCTGGCAGGGAGCCACCCATGGCCCTGAGCAGCAGCATGGCGCTATTCCAAATGTCATGGACCAAGGTTGTTAGCCGCGCACCATAATGCAGCTCTGGCCGACACCAACCCGTCGGCGCATGACCAAGGCAAGACCCCCATAATGGGAGACACTGCAAGGGCTAACTTTGCAAGCTCTGCGCGCTTCCTGATGCGAGACGCATGTTGTCAAATTAGGCTCACGATCAGCGACGCCACAAGCCCCCCCCCCCCTCCGCCGTCGCGGACTGCGTCTCCGCAGTGGAGAAAGTCCTCGGGGCCCAACTCTGACTCAAGCCGGATACTTGACGAGAGCGAGGACCTCGCTAGAATTCGCCCAGTCATTGAGAAATGGTAATGATCAACTTGGATGATTGGACCGGCCGCATCGTAGGTCGGGTGCCAAGACAAAAGCTTCACGCGAAGGGGGGAAATTTTAGGCAGCCAACGTCGAGATGTAACCGAGTTGCGGCACAGCAAACAAGTTGAACAAGGGTTGCAGTCACCAACGGATAAATCAAAGCGATTGTTTGTTGTATTTCAGCTGCTTTGCCGCAACCCATCGTTCATTTAAGAAAGCAGCGGCCCGTTCTGCTCGGCTTTCCAGCTTGCTCTTTTTTCCCCTTGCTGCGCTGATTTTCAAAGACTCCAAGGCATTCCACAAAGACCGTCTCTCAAAGATTTCAAATTCCAGCAACCTCTCCGAGCCCCTCAATCATACACACAATGCAGCTGCTCAAGGCTATCACACTCACTGCGGCAATGTTGCCAGCCGCCCTCGCCAAGATCGACCCCCTCCCAACCTCGACCGACGCAGAGTCGTACCTCTCCGACCACCCAAGCCTCTCCACTATGGCCACCGGCACGCAAGCGACCTCCCTCGTCAGTGCCATCTACAGCATCGAGAAGAGCTGGAGGGACGAGGACATGTACACGACCATGTACTCGCACATGTGGTCAGCCGCTGCCAAAGCCACCAACAGCCCAGACGTGGTCGCATCGCTGGCCGTGACGGGCTGGTCATACTGGGACACCACCGATCAGAGCTGGTGGAAGGATAACATGCCGGACAAGGAGAACAGGTTTGTGTCGGAGTACATGTCGGATTGGGAAAGCGCGTACCAGAAGGTGATGGCAACGGCGACGGGAACTGGGTCGAAGGGCGCCGCGCCGCGGTGCACTGGGATGGCGATGGCTGGGGTCGCGGCTGGAGTGGCGGCGGGAGTCATGGTTGCGATGTGAGACGTACTTTAGAGAAGTGGTTGACTGGTGTACTCCATAAGCGAATGTTGCAAATCATGTCAGAGAGGGCGCGTGATATTAAGAATAACTAGCGTAACGTCCCAAATCAGGCTGGGTTGAGAAGCTGACTGGGCGCTGCCTCCAACTGGGTGTCAAAAAGCCTGGCTGTGGGTAGTGATGCCAAACCCTCCTGCTGAATCCAACACAACATCCCCTAAGAGTTCAAGGCTTCCTCTCGGCGCTGACCTTCATCAAAAATGTCCTCCAGCTTTCTGGCTCCCTGACCGAAAAGAACGGGCTTCTCCTCCAAGATCAAGATGATCTTGTCCACCGTCTCTTGGAGCTTGAGCTTATCGACCAGAGCGCGGGCATCAAGAGCGCACTGCGCCTTGGTCTGGGTCTTGGCGGCTACCGTGTCGATGGGCTCGGCAAGGGTGGGCGGAGGAGGAGGGCGATTCTCAAACATGGTCCGGCTGTCGCACATCTTCTTCACGACACGAGCGACAGCCCTAGCCACGTCCAGGCCATGTTCCTTGTTGAGCCGAGCGGCGGTGCGGTCCTTTGAGAGGGCCCTCGTGAGTCTCTTGAGAAAGGATTCGTCGGTGAAGTCCTTTGTCGGGTGCGCGCGTAGGATCTTGAAAACAGTTTCGACAAAGAATAACTGCCGGAAGATGAGGGAAGACTGGGAGAGACTGTATGGCCGGTAGTTCTTGTTTATGTGGAGAAGCTGGTCGAGCAGCTTCGCAGGCTCATCCTTGCCGAAGAAGGATCCGTCAGCCTCTCTGCAGCACTCCAGCTGGGACATGTCGATGAGACGCCAGCCTGAACAGAATTAGCTGATTTATTGCGTGAAGTGTGAGTGCGAGTACGGCGAATAATACTTACTCATTTTGACAGGACGACAGTGACGGACGTCGGTGTGGGTAGGAAGCAGGAGAGAAAGTGTGGCCGACTGATAGAAGTATCCCAGACGGAATGTCGACTGAGGACGAGAGGACCGTATCAACACGGGACGAAGCTGAAGAGAGGTGTGACGAAAGACGCGCTGAGAAATGGCTACAGGCTTGAGAAGGTGGAAGTCGTTACTCAGAGTTGGTAGCAGTCGAGGATGTGGCGAAGAGGGTTCCCACCTTAGCGTCCTTGTGGAGAGAAAGAAAGAAGAGAGAGGCCTCGGGCAGCTCAGAAGTCGAGATTTATACTACAGATGCTGGAGAGCCGTAGACCCACGTGAGGCATCTTCAATCTCACCTTGAGTTTGCCTGAATTCACCTTCAAGCCGTTGAGTGAACGAGCAGTAGGTCGGGTTTAGTTAGGTAAGGTAGGCTGTCCTACCGCCAGAAGACCTCACCTTCTGGTCGTCGCGACCCACACATTGGCGATCCACGTCATGGTGAATAAAGCGAGACTGCGAAGAGCCAGCAGCCGCTCCAAGCGCCAAGCGCACGCCCGCCCTTCGGGCTGGGCTATAAGTCAGACTGTCGACAAAATCTGCCAGAGTTCTAAGGTCTAGTGGTCACAGGATGCATCCGATTGGGGAAAGTCCTTCTAGATAACAGGCATGGCCTAGGGTCGAGCGTTCGATTCCCGCCTCAGGCGGCTTGGATTTGGAATACTAGTCCAAGGTCGAAGTGTGAATTCCTTTCTTTTTGTGATTTTTCCCCTTGTCTTTTGCAACTTGGCATGTTACCTGCACTTTAAGTTGTAGCTGTTATAGGCAGACTTGAAGTTTTGTATCCAAACAAAAGGCTGGGTGAACATAAGCTCTGTAAGGCGCTGCTCCTACTTATCGACCTACTGCTACAGCGGAAGTTGAGGAGACACTTCACAGGTGGTTGTGATCTCCCTTAATCTGGAGCGCAGCTCCTGAGGCGAAGAGCAGCCAAGCTGAAGGAGCGGAGCAAGGGAGTTACATATCCATTATCTTAACTACTAAAGCGAAGGCACAAAAACGATATGAGGGAGCTCTTCGCTAATTTGCCGCAGCTTCAGGGCCCTTCACGGATTAGCGAAGCGAACTGGGGCTAATGTGAGGTTATTCCAGGAGGGCTGGAGCTTTAGAGGGCAAGCGTAAGGGCAGCTGGGAGGGCTCCGCTCCCGTAGTTGCGCTGAGAGAAAAGTCAGCGTCAAAGGTCTGGACTATCGAAGATAAGATCAAAATTTTAGACGGTATTTCAATCCTGCACCGGGCTTGTGATCACGCTGATGTTGACAGCATGTGACCCCAGCGCAAGGTGAGATCCTGTTACCAGGAGAAGCCAACACTTCAAACTTTTGCCTCAACACCTGTTGCGAGTGACGTATGGTAATGGGCATAGTGAGCGTAGTGAAAAACGTGTAGATGTCTATGGGAAAAAGGAGGGCAGTAGGGATTGCGAGGGCAGGGGTTATGTATACCCCCGCGAAGACCCCTGCCACGCGTGTCTTCGCGACAACACCACAACCACCGTCTCTGCAATCCATTTGATCTTTCAGGCAGAGATCAGATTCAGCTTAAGATTGTCGTCCGAAAATTCCCCGCGATACCCGAGTAAGCTGCCCCATAGCCATGCGCCTTCGAGATAGCTAACACGTCGTGAACAAGACTCCAAGATGACCGACATTGATCTCGAGCAGCTCCTTCGCGTGCCCAGCTTGACCTTCAAGGCTGCCGGCCCTGTGCTTGGCACAGGGATTATCGCCGAGTCCGCCCTCCGTCTTCTCCAGCTCGAGTCTGGCCAGCGTCACCAGGGCGCCAGTCAGCTCTTGGTCGTAAAGCGCATCACCTACTTCGCGCGTGGAGCTCTCGGCATCAGCACGCACTACCCCGACATAGGTCCCAAGACCGTTGCCTATCAGAGCATGGTTACACGAATCGTCACTCTCGACAAGATTGCCGAGCGCGAGCATGTCGCCAAGGGCCTCACCATGCGCCAAGCCGTCATGCGCATCGTCGACAACTACCGCATCGCCCGCAAGCACTACGTTCTCCACGCCGACGTCGTCGACCCCCCTGTTCCTGTCGCTCGCGAGAATGAGACAGAGGCTGCGCTCGCTACCCGCCAGCGATTCGATTTCACGCTGCGAGAGATGTGGGGCGTCCTCGACCAGCTTCAAGGCCTAATGACTGTGAGCGGCAGAGCGACTGTGGCTGCGAAGCAAGCTCTGGCTCAGGAGGTCAAGAAGGGAGCGCTCCTGCAGCAGAAGCTTCGTCTGCACGAGATGGATGCCGAAATCTAGAAGAAGGAGCATCTTACCTCTCGCGACAAGGTTAAGGCGGCTCAGAAGCAGGCAGCTATCTTGCAGAGTGAGAATGAGGAGTTGAAGAAGGAGAATGAGGACTTAAAGAGTTACATCCTAGTCATGAAGAAGGATGCCATGTATGCCATGTCGGCTATCGAGGACTCCAATTAGGGAAGCGTCTCTGAGGATGGGTTCAACGAGCTGGAGGTGATTCCGGAGTGATGTATCGGCGGCGACTCTTGATACCCAATAGCCGTTGCATATGGAAGGAATCGGCTTGCGATCGGAACGAGTGGATTACAGGATTGTCCTGTGGTTTGAGGTATCAAATGTCGATGGTTCAGGCCTGGAGTAACATAGATGGTCCTCCCCATCGGGAACATACACACCCAAATACTTTTTGCCTACACATCGTGCGATGTGAAAGCCGAACTTCTCTCAGAGACTTCGGCATTGGTTCTGATCATGTGTCTCTTACCTTTCATGTTCCATGTCCCATTGTAACTATCCGAGATATGAGGGCCCTTCGTGATCTAGTTAAGGAGTGCGGCTCTCCCACACGCAAATCCTCCGAGATTGTGGCAATGGAGAAGTTTTAGCTGTCTATGACAGATAAATGCAAGCCCTCGAATTTGAACAATGGCATTCATCCTTTATCTCCAATGCCGAAGTATCTCATGTCGATTGGGTCACCACAAGCCTTTGAACGGCACCGCCGTACCCACAGCCAGCGCCCACCGTAAGGCAAGTACACTTGTTGTCGTAGCCACTCAGCCACTTGTGGCTTCATGGCTTCGTGTGGCACAGGCGTATTTAATACGCCTTCGCCTTGCATCCCTGTTTCTAAGAGATTAACCCGTTTTCACCTATTTCTACGACCCCTACTACGCGATAGTTATGAGCCCAGCTCTTAACATAATACTTCACGCCCCCTAATATACTACGTAGTAGACTGTAGCCCAACGCGGTTTATTTTTCTTCTATCTTATAATATCCTTTTTGATAGCTTAATAGCAGCTAACTAGCGTACTCCTCGCGAAGTGATATAACTAGCCTGAGTGGTTTATATAACTATACTTCTACACACTTTAGAACAGTATATAGGAATATATTAACCCTTATAGCGAGGAGGTACCTAATTTAACGCAGTAAGTACTACGCCCTCCTATACTTAACGAACTATATATAAAGCGATAAGAAGAAGCTTAACGTAAATATATCTAACTTTATACTAATTAGGCTACTTATTACTATACTCACTAGCTAAACCCTACTAATACTAAGCTACTACTACTACTTATATTTATAGTTAAAGATATTTAAGAAGAGTATATAGGATATATTATAAACTATAGGATATAAGTTATAGAGTGAAAGGAGCTTATTATAGGTTACTATTTTATTTAGAATTAGGTTTATACTATAGTTAACTATGAGATATTATTAACAATATAGAGTGACCTCATCCTTATTAGGAACACCTCAATTTAAGCCCTTATTTATGCGCTTAAGAATCACCTTACGCTAATAGTTCTCTTTATAGTTACTACTATGTGAGATAACTACCTCGCTTTACTATAGAGGGCTATAGCGGTAATGAATCTAGAGGCATGGTATTAGGAGTAGTACTGCGCGTATTAGCGTGCGTGAGCGTATGAGATCCCTGAGGTTCAAGGGGTTCTTGCTTTACACGCCTTTTTAGAAGTAATAGGTAAACATCTCACCCCTACTTAGGCTAAGTAGAGCTTTATTGAACTTATTATAGCTGAGGAGACTAGTAAACCTACGCATAGTGTTGTTAAATATAGAGCGATCTTCTCTATGCTCTTAAACTAGTATATAAGTTAAGAAGGTTAGTATAGTATTTATGCTATGCTTAGTGGGCGCTTAGAACCTCCCTATTCTATGACTCTAGAAAACTCTGCGCGAAGCGACCCTGCTTTGAGTGGAGGCCGTGGAGATAGTAATTTCCGAAAGTGCCTATGTGGTAGAGAGCACTGATAGTTAGCTATGAAGTGTAGCTACTTAGAGATGGCGTTACGAGGCGAACAGGCTAAGTATAGGGCTCGCCTTGTAGCTAGTGAAAAAGAGACTATTCTGGAGGCGCTCTTAGGGCTAGAGTGGAGCTATCTCTAGGACCGCCTCTGAAGCGAAGGATGGATTACAGAGGCGCCGCGTCCGTCGCAGGCATTACTACAGTTGCCTTCGGACGTGGTTGCGTGAAGCGACGTTAATCCGCGGAGACTGCCCTCGGCAGAGACTGCGGTGGAGCGGCGCTTCGGATCCCATTGCCCAGGCGACGTCGATCTGTGGAGACTGCCCTCGGCAGAGACTGCGGTGGAGCGGCGCTAGCCTATTAGAGGACGGAGGCGACGGCGGGGCTGATCCGCGGAGACTGCCCTCGGCAGAGACTGCGGTGGAGCGACGCCAACGCGCCGTCCATTAGAGAGCGAGGCGAATAAGCCTCTTTTCGTTTGTATATAGCTTCGTTTTACAGCTTCGCGTTGTAGATGTGAAGCTAGGGGGGTGTATTATAGCCACTCAGCTACTTGTGGCTTCATGGCTTCGTGTGGCATAGGCGTATTTAATACGCCTTCGCCTTGCATCCCTGTTTCCAAGAGATTAACCCGTTTTCACCCATTTCTACGACCCCTACTACGCGACACTTGTCAAATTCAATCAATCAATTATGAAGCTATCGCGAAGCAATAAAGTCAAGTTTGGCCTCAAACTTGATTGATTGCCTTGGGGTGGGCGCTGCCCACAAGTGGTACTCAAGTCTGAAACCATGCTGCATTCAGCACATGGTTGGTCAAACGGTTTAACTACCTGGATTTGGCACTTCAGCCCGGGTAACTCCCGAGGATCAAGTTCGAAATGTGGCCAGGACAACGATCCGGCGCGAAAGCCGTCGCATGGAGAGCTTGGTCCTACGTTTTGGACTGATCTGTATTTGTGAATGACTGTTTTGTCGCATTTTTCAACCACAACCCCTCTTGCGTATCTCAACTTAGCTTCCTGGCTGCAACTAGAGACACTCTTGCCGATCTACGTAGGTATTAATTGAGACTTCGGCTTCTTATCGCGAAGGAAGGCGGAATTGCTATGCTTGCGTCAGCACTGAACAGAAACGGCTCAGTCTATCCCCGACCTGCTCAGGTTCACTGAGTTCGGATGCACGCAGATTTTGTGCTTGTTTTGTGTATGTACACCTTTGCCATTCAAGTGCTGACGAAGGTCTTCGCATGTTAAAATTACATCGAAGATGTAATTGGTGATCCCCAATACTACAAGAGGCAGTTACCTCAGTCACCTTCTCATGCTCCAAGCGCTTGTGATAGGCTTCGAAGGCACTGCGTGTTTCATTTTATCAGTACCTTTGCGTTTTTCTGGCACATTCCTTCTACCCATCTGTGAACCCTAAGGCTGCCGCGTTTTCAAATGAATGAATTCCTCCGCAGCCAGCATGGCTACTAGTATTGGCTATCTCAACACGGGAATTAATTATGCTCATGGAGTAATCTCTCCTGGGCATATTCTTCTGCCAAGGTTTCCCTTCCTCTTTCACCCCGGCAGTAGGACAGTATCAAAGCTTTCTCACTCAACCCGTACGGTCTCTCATCTTCCACTTCGAATATACCTTTTGCCGATTCGCAGAGGCTGAATCGAGGGAGTCTCTCTAGCAATAGAACCCTTTGAATCATTAGCTTCGTGCCACTGGAAGACTTGTTGGTACACTCACCTGTGTTCGCGAGAGGCAACTTATCTAGCTGGAATTAGCATCGCTGGCGCATGGTGCATTGTTTACCGAACGGCCCTAGGCGGTCAGGGCTGCGTTATCATGCAGAATCCGGGGGACATCGCGATTGCCATTTCGGAGCTTTCGGCGGTTTCGTCTTTGGGTACGCAGATGAGGTTTTTCGAATTCCTCAAGTTCGTCCAAGTGACCCAACAGGGTGAAGTCAGGTTGCGAATTGTCTTCATCCATGTGTAGTTGAACGTAACTCCTCCGAGCCTTTCGATACGCGTTGACAATCCGAAAGACAGCATTCTTGACGCGCCTTCCATGCTTTGAAACTTCTTCTGATACAATAGGCAATCCGAACGGAACGCTGCCAAGGCACCTGTCGAGAACCCTGGACCAGAAGGGATGGGAGTTAAATTCGATCTCTTTCTCGTGATCGGCGACCAGCGTGGTGTAAAGAATGATTTGCCACAAGTTGAACTTAAATTCCTTATAGTCTGGCTTGGGACAGACTTCGGAAGGTTCCAAACGAAGAATGCGCATGGCCATAGCCGCGATCTTGTCTGAACCTAGACAGGGTCCGGGAGGAAAGTGAACACCCTTGCCATCTAGACGGAGAAGCTTCTCGTTGCGCTCTTGGGCTCGTCTCTGAGCCCGCGAGTAGGTCATTGCTGCTGTTCCGTTAATAGTTAGAGGGATTTGCGTCGCACACAGTGTCAATGAAAATAGGCTAACATACGCAGGCGGGATATTCCCAGATGGTTAAGTGAGAACAGTAGAGGAGCGTATGCGCGATTGTATGCAGTAGCAGAGGTTGTAGTTCATCAAGTGTGATCGGGAGGTAGGGTGTCGAAAGATGTCCGATTGGGATGAGATTTGTCGGAGAAAATTGCGGCGCTGGTCCTGGCGGTGAAGAATGCAGAAAGTAGACGAGGTTGAGGAGGAAGTGGAAGGCGTGGCGTGGCTCTTGCCTGGGTACCTACGTAGCCCTCTCATTGCAACATGCATGTCGAGGCCGCCCACAGGCCTGAGGCAGAAAACCCGTCAGATTTTGGGAGGCAGGTGCGCGCCACTCATTCAGTGATCAGTAGGGGGCAAAAGACACAGCACCCGGGCAACCTATTTATCGAAGGCGTCAAATGTGATGATGTCAAAACCATGGCTAATCTATTGCAATTGTTGTCCTATTCCGCTACGTAGCTTCAAACCCAACCTTCATACTTTGAACTTCAACATCCCTGCCCATCTTCAATCCATATGTCTTTCCCATTAGCCATGTAACTCCATATCAACTCGGAGTTTAGCTCCAGATAGCTGGCGGCAATGGCATCCAAAGACATCATCTGTGTGACTACTGGATGTGTGGGAAGTAGAAAGCAAAAGTCTCCCGCGTACATCGCGCATAGCCAGTTTCTTTCTCGTGCAACTCTTTGTCGAGCGCAATGGCAGGGATACCAAGTTTTTTTGTGCTTGTGCTGCCTCGTTGGAAAAAGCCTGTGTTGTTCACAATAAGTCTTTGATTCTCTCTTTTCCGTTTCAAGTGTCAACTCGCCTTCAATCTTGATCAATGCAAATTGCCTCCGCCACAGAGCTGCCACTTGGGCTGGTGAGAGCACGTGCTCTCTTCACCGCGGCGGCGCGTGCATAGGGAAGCTCAATGCCCCTGATGGCAGCTTCTCGGGTGACGGCCGCTACCTTTGCCTGCTCCTTCTTGATCGCTGACTCTAGCTCTTTGACCCTGCCCAGATTCTCCCGGTTCATGTCGAGTACGTCTTGCATCTGTTGGTTCAGAATCTTGCGAGCTGACTTGTCACCCTGACGGTAGCCTTTGGCGTGTGCCTTCTCATGATCTCGCTCATGAGCCCTCTTCTGCACGCGGAGAATGGCGACACAGTGCTTCTTGATCATGGCTTTGTCCTCAACGGAGACATCAAGCTTGTCGACATACTGCTCTGCCTGGCGAATGGTGGCAGGCTTGGCTCTCTGTAGCTTTCGCATGGCTGGGCTCATGTGAATTTCGTCGTCGTCATCAGTCTCATCGTGTTCAGTAGACTCGTCCGTGTCGATGTCATCCTGGGTGGATGAGGGAGAAGGTAGCCCAACGGCAGCTTGGGCAGAAGCCATATTCATTTGCCGCACAATCTCCTAGTCGTGCATGGCTTGATGGAGCTGATGGACATCCTTTGCCTCAGACGAGTAATCGAGAGGGGCTTCAAGCAAGGCTGCAGCTTGGTTGGGGTGGGTGCTTCTGTACTGCTCCCAGCCTCGCTGGTAGGTGTCGATGAGGTATGCGAGACGAACCAGGACTTTGGGGTCGGCGTCTGACATAAGAAGATCATCGCGAAGGTTCTCCTTGGCCTTCTCCCAGAACCTGACGGAGTGGAGGCTCAGAGTGGGTTCATCGCAAGCAAGCTGAGTAACGACGTCAACTATCATGGTGAGACGGAACGCGAAAGCGCCGATGGTTGTGTGAGTGTCGAGATGCAGAATGGAGAGTAACTCATCGCCGTCGTAGAAGAATGTCAGTTTGAACGAACCGTCGAGGCTGAAGCCGGGGAGATCGGCGGGAGCGGACGACAGAGCCATCATTTCGAGCTGGGTGGGTCTTCGTCTGGTCCAGATCGTGGCGAGTAACGGCTGTGGCCAAGGTGCGATTGAAGATTGATGGCGATGGTGAGTTTTCAGCCAAGGCTGAGATGGAAGTTGGGAAGGAGGGGATAGATCAGGACGGTCCGACGAAGGGGATGTGAAGGCATGCGGTTAGATGGACTAAGGTACCTTACCTTACAGTGTAATTGGGATGTGGGTCCCAATTCAGACCCACAAGCGCATTAGTGTCACGGTGCATCTTGCCCAAGCTTGAGGTGGTCGCGACTCCAGGTTATTCGTTTTCTTGCGCTGTTAATTACCATCTAACGTCGAGGTTCGCGGCGATGAAAATGCCACAATAACTTGATTTTTGATCTCTATTCTACAAGCTCATGTGATGCAATGCAATCCCTCCATGATGACTACTTCCCCAGTCTGGGCAGGCACAATGAGTCCAATGCTAATCTTCCTTCAACATTTCAGGTTCGTACTAACCTCCTTCTAGTAGAGACCTGACGAGTCTAAATAGGGAAGCACGTCTTGAGTCATCGACATGTTGGATATCGTTCAATCATCAGTCAGGTCGATAACCTCAGTCTCGTCTCGAACCGACTTGGAGTCGTTGGACTCATCCTTTTCGGTGTCCTTGTCGGTGTCCTTGTCGGTGTCCTTGTCGGTGTCCTTGTCGGTGTCCTTGTCGGTGTCCTTGTCGGTGTCCTTGTCGGTGTCCTTGTCGGCTTCCTTCGTCTCGGGGCTTTTCTGGACAACACTGTGGTGGTATGCAGTGCTCTCGGTCTTGATGGCGACATCATCATCGTCGGTGTGGCCCTCACCGGTCCGGAGCTGTCCCTTAACGACGGTGATCGCCATATCCTTGGCGACGCTCTCATCGTCGAGAACAGCAGCACCGGTGTCCTTATTCGCTGAAATCGCCTCGTACTTGAGAAGACGGGTCTTGAGCTCATTAATCTCTCTCTCCATGTCTCTGATCTGACGGTCACGGCCAATGTTGTCCATGGCGGAGCGGCGCATCATCTCCCGCTCCTGCTCCAAGACATTCTCAGATCGGCTTCTCATCATCTGGATGCACATGTCCCAGCCGGAGCTCCAGTTGGCAAGAGAAGCGTCCTTGAACTTCTTGTCGCCCTCAAGCTGAGCGTAGTATTGGGCGGCAGCGGCCTTGTGCTCGCGCTCCTCGAGAATCTCGAAGCCTTTCACGTCGACTGTGGCGCGGAAATTGCCGCCCATGACGGCATTCCAGTCAGCTATGGCAAGATGGAGATCCCAAAAGACATAGTTGGTGCCAACGGGACTGGCCACAAAGCCCTTGGTGCTGTGGGGGTGGTCCTCGGCATACTTCAGCCAGGCAGCGTAGTAAAGCTCGACAAGATACTTCCACTCCCGAGTCTCTTCGTTGGTGGCAGACGCAAAGATCGAGTCATTGGTCAGCAGCTTTCGAGCCATTGGCCAGAATCCGGGCTTCTCCACGTCCTTGGGCTCCAGACCGTATGCGTGAATGTTTGTCAGAGCCGCTCGGATGATGCTGGTAAGTCTGGCAGCAAACTTCTCCTTCCTGGTGTGGAACGGGCGATGGTCGGGGTCGAGGAAGACGAATCGGAACACAGTCCGATGTCCGGTATCGATGAGATGCTTGGCCAAGTTCTCGTGCTTAGTCTCGAGATGGATTGTGAAGGCGAAGCCATCAATCATCATGGACTTCTCCATCAAGGAGAGGTTGCCAGGGTTGAGGTTGGACTGCGACATGTTGATGTGAGGGATATCAATGTGAACTGAGTAGAAGGTTAGTGGGCTTGCATTTTGAGGCTCACGAGTATCAAAAATTACCTTTGTGAAGTTGCTTGGAGGTAAGAGACTTCGCGATAGGAGGGAGGAACCTGAACAATGGTGACTGGGACAAAATGGCAGTCGTTGCAGTTGAGCGTGCTGGAAGCATGCGAATGAAAATCAGGTCGAAAATACGAAGAGAAAACTAGAGACGACGGCGGGAGAAACCAAAGGGGACGACGTTGGAAGTGGACGAAGTTGAAATCGTGCACTTTGCCACTCACGCGGTAGGTGTGGAAGAAAAACAGCCGTTGACGCTTGGGTGAGTTGAATGAGAAGATATTTTTCCGGCGAAGGGCTGCGGCAAGGCCGACCCAGGAGGTAGGAACATCGAATTAGCCCAAGTACGCGCCTTCTGGAACTGAGAGAAACTCGACGCACACGCGGCACCGGGTGAGGTGAAGTTCCCAGAAGTGGGGCATCCTGCCGCTCAAAGGTACACATAGGCCGGCACCACCTTGTGGTATGGTATATCAGTTGGGTACGTTCTGGAATCTGTCACCAAATCGGGGCTTCGCCAGCCACTGGGCCACTTGGCCTAGTTGGTTGTGCTGTTGCTGCCACGGGTAGCTCGGGCTCACTCGACACATGTGAATGAGGTATCTTGCCTGGCGGGGTACTAACATTCGAAAGTCGCACTGACCTGCCTACTCAATTTGGTATTTCTTTTTTGCAACTTCATTTTTTGTTTTCTAATAAAAAATGGGTCGGAATCTGCGTTTTTGCCTCTGTGTCTGCCATTGTTTTGCTTATCTTTACGTGGAGGATTCGCGGTTGCGTGCTCCACCCTGAAGCTCAAGTGCATTCTGACCGGCCACATCCAGTACGCCCTAGTAACTTAGCCGTCACCCGACTCCAATAGGTAGTCTCGACAGGCACCGGTATCAACGTTCTTCCGTACTGCGACTGGAACTCGCGTACATTAGGTACCTATTGGTGGACGCGAGGCAGACTCTTCACATGCCACGCTCCCCGGAAAGGTAGTGGTCTCCATCATTGCTACTCCAGCCATACTTCAGCGAACGAGAGACCGTCGGTGTGTTTCTACCATGGCGTCTGAGCCGAAGAGTCCTTGCGAAAAGGCTCCATCTTCTCGTTTCCCCCAGTACGTTCAATAACTTAGAACAAGGTTTCATGCCGACAAACTCACCTCGGACACTAGATACACCGCCAAGAACATGCAAGAGCGACGAACGCAAGGCCCAGACCCTACACAACCCAAAAGCATACGAACCAGTCTTTCTGTCTTGAGAACGACCGTCACGAAACTCGAGATTGAAGCCAACGCCTACCAGGAGGCCATCAAGAAACAAGATCTCCTTATCGAAGAAGCTTTCAACAACTTGCAAGACCCATCATCGGGCCATCCAATGCGACAGACTCCTTCCAGCATCGCCAAAAGCTCCGCAAAGTCCTGGACCGCCTCATTAGAGCACCTTTGGGACCTCTACACGGAGCGCGCAGCTCTCAGAACCAAGCTTATGAAGATTACCGAGGACAAGAAGACGGCGGAGCGTTCAGTGCAGGCGCTCAAGAGCCTCACGATCACCAATGCCAGCAAGAAAGCCGAAACGCCTACGGGAGATGCTGTCGCGATACTGGCGTCTGCTATGGGGGATCTTACTCTTCAACCCGTGACGATACCTAAGATTGAGGAAGCACAGAAGACGCCGTATGATTCCAAGCAGCAGAGCAATCAGATCACGCGTTCCAATTGCGGGAATCTTGGAAGGTCTGAAGCGAAGCTTCGTCAGACGACAGGGCCGTCGACCGAGAAGAGTCGAGCTGCCCATGGAAGGTATTCTATTCGCATTGTCGAGGATAATGAGCCCTGGAAGACATACGGCTACCGCGGTGACAACTTTTACGATCACTACGACCGCATCCGTGCGCTGGCTCGGAAGCGATGAGCTCATGGGCGGTCGAAACTCTTACAGAAGTCATAACGCCCGCCTAGAACAACGGAAACACGGTCACGTGGACGAAATTACATATGAATCGTACTCTTCATGAGTAGCAGTCATTTGTGCTCTTCATGAGCCATGGTTATCAGTACTCTTAATGAGTAGCCCTCTAAGAACTGGGAGGACAGAGGTAGCAGTTTATATTCATCGGCGTAACTTTCAAAGAAACAAACAGTGCCACCTGTGTTGTGATCAATTTCTGCTACTAAAACGTCTAGCCAACGCCCAAAGCCATTGGCGGTACCCCAATGGAAGCCATCGAACCACCGGGACTCCTGTTCACATGCTCCCCCGAAGCCACTAATAATCAAACAGGTCGATGAAAGGCATTTCATGCGAGTAGATCTTTGCATTCTTCCCCGCAGCTTCGACTTGGCTACGCAACGAGATAATCTCCCTATTCTTGTTCTTCAAATATGCCTCCCTCTGAGTAAGAATACTCTGCTGGTTCTTGACACGCATGTTAGGCTCAAAGAGCCCCTGTTACGGACGAAAGGTATCATCGCTACTATTTTCAGTATGGGTCTCGCCCACATCGTCAATCCAGGCCTCGCTGGCAAGGCCGTTTGCGGTGCAGAGATCCTGGAACAGGGCGCCAAATTATGATTCGTGGTGATCTGGCTGGTAAACCAAGCAAGCGATAGTGACGACATCTTCTTTGCTAGTCACTGGGATATCGATAGTGCTGCAGGTCTGCTGCAACAGGCGGGAGCGCCACTTGTCATCACGGCTGAAGATCTTGTGGCCCTTGCTGGCAGTAACGATAACCTGCTACAGGTTCCTCGCAATGCCGTCGGAGTCGTGCGTTGACCTTGAGACCGTTTTAGACTGTTTTATATGTAGATTCGCATAATGACAGCATTGCGGGTTGCAACGAAGGCCTCACATTCCAGAGAGTCGAAGTTGTCGGCTTGGTTGGCTATAACATTGCTCGCATTGACCTTGTTCACATCATTGCTGGACTTGAAAGGCGCCTTGCTACTGTTGCATCGGCCATTGGTCTAGTCTTTGACGAGTGTGTTCTTCAAAGACTCCCGAGCTGCGGGGTCGCGAGATGTCGGACGTTTGGAAGAAGTGTGCTCTTGAACGTAGACTTCGAGGCGCCCGTTTCAGTCGTCTTGAGACTGATAGAGGTTCCATTGCACTTTAAAGCACTTTGCATAGCAATCCATGAAGATCGCTGAAGAATGAGACGAAGAAGGAATCATTCTGAGTGAAGGCGATGAACATATCTGGAGCGTTAAGGCGTCAGTGTGGGAGAAGACAGTCCGACAGTCCGCTCGGGGAAAACAGAGGTGTCGACGGTAGTGTGCGTTGATCCGTTTGGGAACTCCTCGGAAGCGACTTCCCGTGAAGATCGTTGAAGTTGGGCAACCCGGCACACCTGTCGTAGAACGGCGAAGGAGATAGCGAAATATTGAGCTTGATGTGTTTACGGAATCAGAGATCGTGCCTTGCCCAAATCCCTCATAACTCACAGTGCCACTCTGGATCATTCGCGGAGGCTTGCTGCCACAACAGATTCCTCTGACTGACCGGGCGAAGTAGTGCGGTCGAATCCTCATCATCTATGCCAGACTTATCGTTGATCTTATTCTCATCTGCACGAGGAGAAGCCTGGTGAGGAACGGAAGACTCACAGGCTTACCCACGAGCCTACCCGGAAATGATACGAGAGGAAAACAATAATGGATGAAGAAGATTGACACCATGATGCGCGGTCGTCTGGCCTGTTGAACGGCCTTGTGGGCCTAGATTGTTGCACATGAAGCTTTATTGTGACAGTATTCCCTTGTAACTACCATAGAGGCTTGAACAATCTTTTAGTCTCTGCCACGCAGCCCACACTGCGCTGAGATCAATTTTGCTGGGCGGGGTGGTGAAGCCAAGGCCCTCCGTTGTCTCAACAATGTCATCGCGACGGTGGGCTACCATAGTTCCCAGGGATGAGACGTTGAAGCTCAAGACAACAGATCGACAAGGACCCCCTGATGGTTGTATGTATCGGGGGAAGGGCTCCTCGCATGTCTCATGACTTCGTCCCGCTCCTCGACCAATATGGTGACCTCCTCCGCATGGCATTGCTTTTCGTAGTCCAACTGCTGCTTCAACGCTTTCTTCTCCTTCTCCGACTCGTGCAGAGCAATCTTGCCCTCGTGGACGTCGCGAACAAGGATCTCGAAGGCGTGCTGCATAAGGTAGTCGGGCCTGATTGGGTTGGCCAGTTTCTCGACGCCGAGGCCCATGTCGTTGGCCAGACTAGCAAGTGCGCTGCGTTCGTCCGTCGCGAAGCTGATCTTGGCCGTCGTAGCTTGAATCTCATTGTGGAGCTTCAACACAACTGCCTTCAGGCGCTTGATCTCGGATTGAAGGCTGGCCGAACTAGCGCCGCTTAGCCGTGTGGCAATTTGTTCGATGGCGAGAAGGGTCGTCTGCGTTTCATCATGAAGTATGAGAGTCTTCTTGAGGGTCCACTCTAGGTCTTTGATCTTGCAGCCGAGATGATGAACATAGATCAGGTCCCTGCTGGCAAGGAACTTCGAAAAGTGAACTGTCTTCTCCATCTTGGACAAACCACGATGGTCGCTGCTGATGTCGATGCTAGGCCTGAAGCTTTTAGTTTGATAGTTCCACGCATCTAAGGGAAGGAAGGGCGACGAGAGACGTACTTGGACACCAAGGGACAGTCGCAATTGGGTCTCTCCGGGGGATGATCCCATCCCATGGTGTTCTCAGCAGTACCGGTGGTGCCGGAAATTGCGGTAGCTTGGCTGGACATGGTGTATCAGGAGAGAGATTCCCGTTATTGTTGGTGTCTGCTGGTGAAACAGGATCAGAGAATGAAAAACACAAAGCAAAGTAAAAGCGAGGCAAGTGCATACTGATTCGGCGGAATCGATATGGTGTTTTCACCGGCCTCAATCTCTTATCAGCGGTAAATGGCTCCTTATCAGTCGATTGCAAAGCCCGGCAGGGCGAGAGCATCTTATCTCGGGCTCCCAGGACGTCTTCGCTCACCGCCTCGGCAAGCCTCTTTTCTGCCGGTGGGGCCTCGATTGTCCATCACCAGCCACACCGAGCCTTTGATGTGATCGTGAACAATCATTTTGTTTTGCGCAAATTTAGCTGCTGCAGGATTTCAACAGCTGGTAAGCTGAGTGACACTTTGATGCGACCTTGCCACGGGGATTTGCATCGCAACCGCACTGTTTCTCAATCTTCTCCCAGAACCAGCCGCAACCCACCGCATCTTAGCGCAGAGCCACAGTGCTGCTTTCGGTGCAGTCGCAGTGCATGATTGGCACGCGACATGGGTGGCGCCGAAACCTTGCCCTTGGCGTGCTTGGCTCCACCACTTTGATTCAACGACAACGCCATCTGAAATGGAAATTTGGCGATGCCGCGTGGTAGGCCGTCTAGCAATTGGTCTATGAAGAAAATAAGGGACCAATACCCGATAATAGCGAATCTTGCGAAAAAGGAGTGACCACTGGGGCTATTTTAGCCACAGCAGATAAAGGCACAAGTGGCTCGGCGATGCAAGCGAGCTAAGCATTTGAGCGCGTGAGTCTGCACGACCAGCAGCATCTAACCTTCGCTCTAGGAGCGCAATCGCTGAATCATACGTACATGCATGCCAAAGAACAATATGCCGGAAAACGCGGTCAGTAAACAAAAGTTGTATCATCAGCAGTGACAAAACGTACTCGTACAGAAAACAAATATTGAAAAAGAAAAGGAAAAAAAGAGTCAAAAAAATGGAATTGAACCCTTGCTCTCTGGTGGACCAGAGTGGTACTAATGAACCGGCGCGGTATGACCTGCAAGCCGGGGCCCTACGACTGCACCACCCGACTCAAACCAGCTCTTTTCCCCGAGGGTTGGGAATTCCGGATCGTTTCTTGCCTAAGACCCTTTGTCCGCTCCCATGCCCCCGGAGCGACCCACTCAATTCTCACCTTTGACTTGACTCAACCTATCAAAGCACAGCTCAGCTGAGCCGGTCAATACCATCACTGAATCTCAACTGGTGGGCTCGTTTGCGTCCATGCCCTTTGTCGGACTCCATGTCAACGACGATGATGCAGACGTTTCAAGAAAGGAAAGTGTTCACGGAATTTCAAAATACGCTTACCAACGCTATTATAAGAGAATGTGGAGTCAACATGTAAGATGGTGGTGTTGACTTCTATCATCTCGTCCAAGTCGTTCTAATCCAGCTTCAAAACCTATTCAATCCGACCTTCTGCATTCCAATCTCCCTGAGCAATTCCGACGAAGCTCAACGTCTCAGAAGCATGGGATGAGAAGTTCTAGAGCTCTCCTTACACCCTGGTGTTTACACGGGATACGCGCACTCTTGCATAAACTCATCCAGGTCATCCTCGTTCCAAACACGCTTGTCGAAGATAGTGTCTCGTTGATTAAAGACTGGGAGCACGCGAGACCACAACCAACGGAGTGCAGCACGCGATACGGGCGCCTTGTGCTCGAGAGTGGCTGGGGCGTTGCCGGGAGTCGTGGCGCTGGCAGAGAGTAGGTTGTCGACGAGGGGGTTCGGATCGAGCTCGTTCGGGGTCAGCGGAGGGGCGTAGACGGCGACCTCCGATTCAAGTACAGTCGGCTTGTTCATGTCCGGTGTTGCTGTAGAGGCATGCTGATCAGCCTCATCGGCAGGGCTGTCGAGAAGCAGGGGCTGAACATTGCTGGTGTGGTCGGCGGGAGCGACGAAAAGACGGGCGATATCATGCTTGGACGCGTTCTACTCATCCAAGGTATCGAGGAGCGTCTGGTAGGTCTCGTGGCCCTCTACAGAGCTCTGAGGGTACATGGCGAGGTAGTTGGCGCGAGCATCTCCGAAGCGATTGATGAGCTCCTTCTCACGCTCTCCCATGGGGTTGTAGACCTCCCAGCTGCGCTTGACACGGAGAGTCATGAAGACGCGCTGCTAGAACGTCTTCTGACGAACGTGGGGCAGGGTGCTGCGCAATTCCTCAACGCCGTCGTGGATTAGCTTGGCGTGATTGAGTGCCTCGGTAATCATGGCTGCCAGGCGATTTCGAAGCTTTTCGAGGTAGACATTGCGCTCGAAGTTGCGGTTCTTGTTGGCGAGGCGGCGGCTCAGAAGTATGCAACAGGCGAGGTCGTCTGCCAGCAGGAAGTGGGCTCGGGTATTCCAAGTGAGGCCTGGAATATGGCGTAGAACGTCGTGGTTGACCCGGCGCGCGGCGGGATTGGTGTTGGCCGTGAACGACATCCTCGCGCGAGGGTACATGAAGCCTGATGTGAGCATTAGATGATGGACGGCGATGTTTGCGATGGAATTGTCTTACCTTGCCAGCTGCGGCTGATCGTTTCCGCGGCCTTGCTTGATGAGTATGATGCGTTGAGGGAGAAGAAAACAAAGAGGATGAATTTCCGCGAAGGAGTTCGTTCAGATGGAGGTAAAGTGGGTCGCTGGTTGCTAGCGTCAGAGCTCGCGAGAGGAACTAGAGCCGGGCTGTACGGAACCGCGCCAACCTTTCAAGTGGCCGATCGAGAAGTGAGATACGAATGATGTTTCCGATGATTTTACTGGCTCAATACAAAGTGGACTAAAGCTGAAGCTGGCCTGAGGCGTCCGCAGCCTGCCGCATCAGTGGAACCGGGGTGCGCATGAAGGTGAGAGAGCACTGGGCAATACTACTGGTGAATGGTCAACTCATGGCACCATTGAACCGACGGCCCGGCCTCTCGACCACCGGTTTTAAGTGCGGATTGAATCTGAGCCTCACGCCACTGGGTGCGAAGCCTTGGTGGGCAGGTTAGAGTCATGTGTCGGAGTCTGTAGGGCCCCAGCTCCAATCGGTGGCGCCGAGCCTGCCAAGTGCTAGTGGTTCAAAACCACCTGGTGGCTTCTTTTTTGCTTTTTGATTCCATACTACCAATGTATGTTGACTGACGGTTCACGAATGACAGGACAGTCTTCAAAGCATATGCGAGTTTGATTTGGACAAAATCAATGTTTTCCACCTGTTGAAGCGGTATAATGCGACGTATGATTGGTGAAAAACCCATCGTATGAACATAGACGCCTGATACGTAACTTGAATACGCATGAATTGAGGTACTAAATTGGACACGGAAAGGAGTAGACGAAGACTGGTATAATGATGATAACTGATGCAGCATGGAATCATTCATCCACCCACTTTCGAAGACATCTGCCATTATCTAAACGGGCATCGGCAGGTGTCGTGATGACTTAACTGTCGTTCAAGACATGTACCGGTCCAGAGCCAAGGATTATCGGGAACCATGATGTTCGTGTTGATGGTCTGAAGTCGTTGTTCTTTGAGACGCGTCATCAGGGCCACTCGATAACGTATAGTTCTTTTGCGGGCTTTGCGAAGCTCGAGTGCGCATGTTGGATAGCTCAACCGCTGGGCCTGACCTCGGGTAGGTTTTACGAGATGAACAGCCGCTCGAGCTGGCCAAGGGTCTCGGCGAGAGCATCGGCTGTTGCTCGTTGACGACCTTCTCAAGAAATATTGCTTTGAGTACATGTTAGCCTTGCAAGCCTCATGAACCGTTTCATGTCCAAGTTGGGACTCACCCATGTCATGGATCCAGCTGGATGGAGAGGGTTGGATATTGCAAACTCTTGGTCTCGACATCGTGGTTGAGTATTGAGCGGGCGATATGCTGGTGCTAGGGGCTGTTGCCGTGATTGAGGACAAGTGGTTCTGAAAAGATCTTTGGCAGATAAATGTCGGTGCCATTGTCAAAGTGACTTGGAAGATATTGATGCAGTTCGCGGTCTTCCCCAAGAAAGCCTGAAAGCCGTGGTGGATGACGAGGTGGACGTTGTGGCTAGACCTTTTGTCAATATTTGTCGCTGAAAGAGGTCACTAGTAGCGACTTGCCTTTGCGCATGCGACTCCAGATTGGGCCTTTGACTTGGTCTGCGGCAATGAGCCTATCCGTTTGCCCGTCTCAATCATGTAATTGCAGATGGAAACTCGAGTTTTGACAAGGAAAATCTGCCGCGAAGTATCTAAGGTGTCAAAGACGCCATCTCATCTTCGCAGTCGACGACCTTCATCCTTCAAAAAGGAAAACGGCATGCTACGCCACGCCAAGACGCGCTGTCCGCTCATTTGTCCGCCGCTCCTCATCGTGATCGCGTCAAAGGTCGCCGACCAGTCGGCACCGTTCCACCAACCACGCAAACCCAGTCTAACCAGATGTCAACCCATCAGCCGAAGTGAAGAGAGGATGACGAGAAACCGGCGACAGCGATGAAATCACCTCTCGCGACGTCCCGTCCGCTCAAAAGTGGTTCCGATAACGAGAAGGCTTTTTTGACCTCGCTGAGCCCCCGCGGTGTGGGATGCGTCGGCACTTCGCCGCCGCCGCCGCCCGGCGTCTCCGGCCGAGTGGCGGACATCGGAGGAATTAAATGGTGCCGCGGGAACGAGTCCGTCATGTTGTCGTATGTGGGAGAATGGTTAGCCTGCTTTGGGGTCAACGGCGTACCGCCGAAACGTTGCCAAGCCAACCCAGAGTCAGGTGAAGCCCGACGTATCTCCATTCGCTCGTCTCCCGGCTGCCCGCCGCGGCGGCCAGAGGGGGGGCGAGCGCTGCGGGGCGGGAAACGTTGGCGCCGAGAGAGATGGGCAAACACCCAAGAAACTCCCAAGAGGTGCTACGAAGCTTAGCCTTTGCAGATCCTCTTTCCGGAGGGGCTTGGCGGGTTTCTTGGTGCGACGATGGCACGTGGGGCGGCTGGCTGGCTGGCTTCAAGAGGGGAGAAGAGGGAGTATGTGGCTGGGCTGTGGTTGGTTCAAGCTTGCCCGCGGCGCAAGCAGCAAGCTTGGCCTTTGACGATGTCTCGGGTCGCCGAGTGGACGGTTCCTGGAGGGCGAGCCGGGGTGACCCCGACGCAAGAGTTGAAACATGAAACAGGAGTCCCCTCGAGTCAAGTATGGGAGATTTGAGAAACGTTTTCTTGTTGGTAGGAGGAGACGAAAATCAGGGGCTGCTTTCGTAACCCGCGGGGTGAGGATCCGATGGATTGGACCGAGGAGAAACTCCGACTGGACGGTCGCCCAAGGACGCAGTGGCGTTTGGCGACTGGCGAAGGTTCTTGGAATACGTCGTATCTCAAGGCAAGAGTAGGAAATTTGCCCGCATACTCTGCCGGGTGATGATTCTGGCATCGGTTGCGTCGTCTAATCTCTGAATGGTCGCTGCTGCTTTGACCCGTCGAGGTCTGAGTTGCCACGCTTCACACGCGTCCCACGGAGGCGCTCGTCTGCCCGAGAAAGATGTTGATGAGGCTCAAAGAATGCGCAAGTCGACATAGCAGTCAGACTGCAGCGCACGCACTCTGTTCTTACTCGGAGAACGGTCAGCCATGGATATGCGATGGAGAGATGCAGCGGGCTCGGGAGCGGATACGGGATGTGGGACACCGCCCTAGGGAGGCCCCGAGACCTTGAGGTTGACGTTGGTTGGTGCCCTGCTCCTGCTGCTGCCCGGGCTGCCTGCCCTGGTGCTGCACCACCGTTTGGGTGACGGGCCTGCGGGCTCCAGCGGGCGAGCGGGATTCGTCCAGTGCTGGGGGGTTACCCGCTGAATAGACTTCCAGCGGCTGCAGCGGCCCCGCTAGCTTCTTTCCCTTTAGCGTGCACTTAGCACTCGCTTAAGCCCCACCCATCCAGCTGCTGCCCTGCACCTTTTCAGGAACAAAACCTCGAGCTTGTTGGGAGGCACCAAGGTTGAGTTCAAGCCCATACCCCATTGGCGCTTGCTCTGCGAAAGACTGGCTGAAGCATATCGCGAGGGGAGCAAGGAGATTGGGCTGGACAGCCTTCGATTGTTTCGTTTGTTCGGCGTCGATTGAGGGTCCCCACTCTAATCGTCAGCCATCGGAACTCTTTTTGGTCGTCTTTTGTCGTCGGAGATTGGCTGAGAGTGGCGGACTTTATTGGACTCATTGAACAGAAGCGGGAAGTACGACTGCTTACTTTGTGGGAGCCGCGGGTTCAGCTGATGGGCGGTTCGACGACGGATTACGTGGGCTTTTGTGGCATAGCGCTGTTAGCTGGGTCACAGCGTTGGCTTGGCGATGTTTTGCGCTCATGTTGCGTTTAGCTAGCGGTGACTACGTTTGGAAATGCGAAATGAGTCTATGGAATCAATGGATTGCAATGAGAAAGGAAATCTTCATGTTTTGTCGTTACTTCGTATGCTGTTTGATGCCATCGTTTGCGGACACCCTGTAATGTGCTATGTACTAAAGTCAAGAATGACTTGGTCTTTGTTACTGAAAAGTTCTCCCAACACAATTCCTTTGATCCAAAGTCAAGGGTTTGTGCCTAGACATGTTTGCGGGTGCCGCTCGTGGCTTTGCTTCATATGCGGTTCTCCATCATTTCCTTGATTGCCACCTTACTAGCCCTGTCCGGCTTTGTGCTCACATGTTTTGGTTTCGATTTCGATTCGTACTTTTCAATGGCCTCAAGCTCCAGCCCGAGGACCTCCTCGATATCCTTCATTTTGAAATCTGCTTGCCTTGGTGTTGGGTCATTTCGCCAGGTTGATGCTTCGCTGTCCCACGAGCCGCCGTGCATGGCGTCTTTTCTCCTCCGGAAGCAGCACGGGAAGTGTCTGCTTGTCCAGATAATGACACGGTTGTGTGTCTCTTCTACAAGCGGCCTGATTCCCGGGATAGAGAGGGCTATTAGTGTTGCGCCAATCTCAGCGACCTCAATCGCTAGCAAAGGGCTATAAATCCATGACTGGTCGGGTTGCCATTGGCCATTAATGACCAATATGAGACGGACGACAGAGATGGCGACGACACTACTCACGTTAGTTGTTGCTCTTCCCGTGGACAGACATTTTTGACTCACAGGATACCGGGAAGCAAGATACAGGCCAGTTGGATCTTGCGCTTCCTCGTCATTTCCAGCATCCTCAGCATGGCAATCGGGATTCCGAACAACACAAAGTCGCACAGCAATGAGACGGCGGAGTTGATTCCGTACACAAAGCCCCAAGGCAAGCATTTAAACTGGTTGAACTGCGTTTGCCACTCGTACGGCCAGATGGCTGTTACCGGCAGACAGTGGAAGACAATGAGTAGCATCTGCGTCAGCCACCCGACGAAGAGGAAGCCCGCGAGGCCCTTAATCGATCGGAGGAAACCGTTGTGAATTCCGCACACGCGATAGTAAAACGCCAGTCCAGAGTACCGACAGAAAAGCAACGCCGTCGAGTAGATAAGATGCGCCGTAAAGTCGAGAATCTCCGTCTCTTCCAGGGTATCCTGCGTCATGACATACTGGATATACTCAAAGTGCCGACCCGATCCAATATTGATGAGAATAATACATAGAGGCACAAACGCAATGAACATCGCCTGGTCATCATCACGTTAGCACTGGTACTCAGTCACCACCTTGAAGTTGTCCTCACCATTCCGATAACAGCAAGCGCGTCATCAACACCGAAGCTTTTCCTCAGGAAAAATCTCGAAAAGGCGCGGCCGTTAACAACCACCAGGGTCAACACGAACATGGCGATGGACGCCGCCATCGATGGCGTATCCCGATCCTCATCGAGGTACGCGACGCTGATCTCCTGTGGTATGCGACCGGCCTGGAAGGCATCTGCAACTGCAGCGTCGCCGCCGGTCATGGCGACGGTTATCGTTGTGCTGTTGACGGACCAGTATGGTGTGGTAACATTTCCCGTGGCGTCTAGCAAGAGAGAGCACACACCTAATTCCCTCACGAACCTCTGCGACGGGATGGTATATGAGAAAAACGCGCACCCCCTCAACAACTTATGTATATTGCAACCCTTCTATTACCCGCTCCTCTTGGATGTGCCCTCCCACCCTTCTAGCGGGATAATGCGTTCTCCCCTGCATTCTGAGTTCGGATCCGATCGGATGACACAGATTCGCCAACTCTAACGATGGTTGGCATGGATGGGTGGGTTCGCTCTAGAGCTCGCATGGCTTGGCTTCCATGCCTAACAGAGTGAGGCTGCCAAGAAGGTTAGCGCTTGTGTCTGGACTGATATAAAGCTTGGAAAAGCTTACCTCTCCAGCCTTTTTGGGGGAGGATGTCCGTGCCATCGGCAGTTGGCGAAGGCTGCACTCCCTCGTGTCGCCGCCGCCGTTGACAGATTCATGTCAAACTGATGGGCACAATCAATGATAATTATCCCCTTTTCCCTGAGAATCGAATTGTTTGGATAGGTGCGTCTTTTCGAGGATACTGATTACCCGCGGAAGAGGGGGCTGTAGATGGTGTTGCGGTTCACGCCGTGGGTTAAGGTCGAGCGTTGAAGCTCTGTTCACTCGCTGTCTGATCCATGCTTAGCGTGCGGCTTGTGGGGAAAAGGCGGAAGCCAATCGTGATCAAAAAATGAACTGCTCGGAGAGTCCGTTCTGCGGGGGGTGCTATCCAAACATATTTGGCAAATCCCGGCGATTGCAGTGGAGCCTGCGAAGTTGGGTTTGGCTAGGGGCCCATCTCTCGTTCCGGGCGAAGAGCATTTGTGTGGTTCGCGATATGACCAGGGTGGTTAAACGAACTTGCGGCATAGGGCAGACAAAACGTTGGCGTCCCGGAAGCACTGGCGGATGTTTCTGCAGAGAGCCCAGCTGCGCAACAGAATGACTCGTCTTGGCGGCTGGAGGACGACTCGGGCTCGGTTTCTTGGGGCTGCTTTGTTCGTAGGCGTTTGCGATTGCACGATCGTGGGGGAGAGATCAGACGGTGAAACATGATTCGACCGTCTCAGATGAACAAAATGTTCGAAAGTAGCATGGGTGCCTGAAAGCAATCAGTTTCCATGGAAGATTCTCCCATCGCCAGTCTATTCGCGCAATTTGGTCAGTCTTTTTTGCTCGTTTGGAGATGGCGTATCTTGCGGCCTGATGCGGGTGCACATCATTGCTGCCATGGTTGAATTTGAGGCGAACCATTTTACAGGGCACATCGTCGGTTGATAGTTCAGCCTCGATGCTGAGAGTTTGTTCAAGTTCCTTGGTTGTTTGCGATGGTCGATGGAGGGTCCATTTTATATGTCAATGTTGTCCCGCCACACGCTTCGAAATAGTCATGATGTCGTGCCAACTTAACGATCGGTCCCTTGTCGTTCAATCCGAGCTCAGCGCACTGTCGGGTACCCTCATCATCAGTGAGACTTGACTTCGACCACCCCGGAGCTCGGTGGAAATGTCTTCTTTTTGGTTGATTGTCTCTGTCTAGAGCTTGGGTTGTGCATCATGCTTCGAAGTCGAGGCGGGGTCTTCTCAAACCATGGCACATCGCCCACCTCCCATGAGAAGTGGTTCATGAATGGAAAATAGAGGTGAGATGTATTGGAGGATAAGTCAGATTACGCTGCGATCCGTCAAAATCATGTCAATGTGCCAACGAGGAACGATCCATTCTCGCAACCTGACGAAGCCGCGGGAATCGGGATGGGGCATGGACGGTTACTTGACGATCTTGGGATATGATATGCTGCTTAGGATATCGTAGAAGGTTGATTGATGCAACGATGGACTACAGATCAAATCGGGGTCGTCATCGAGTCTCTTTGGGTCTTTGTTCGGGATATGTAGTGAGGGTGAGACCAGGCTGCCTGGTGGATTGCCATAATCCAAGGCAGGTGCCAATAAAGTCAGGTAGCTGCCCTAAAGAGTTCGATCTTTTCCCGGTGAGAGCTGAGGTCAAAGACGAGGCAAGTGGATGGCCAGTGGCATCCTCCTGTGTGGGGCACCACGCTCTTGCCGACGGCACTGGAACGACACTCGGCCCTGGGCACTGTATTTGTCGCGCTTCCTATTTTATTTTCACAAGTAACCACATCCAAGCAACAATCAACACAGAGACATCAACCTCGGCCTTTGTGGGTTCTCAGTTTTCTTATGCAATTGTTACCAAAGGCATCTTTCATGCGACACAAATTGGCTCCAAAGCATTTGTAACCACCAGATTTTGCCTCTCTTGCTCGCTGGTACCTGCAAACGAGTCTTTGTCTGTTCCACGGGGTGTGCTGGTAATATATAGCTCCATTGACTAACCTGGGCCTCTTGGAAACAATCTGACCCAGAGAAAATGGCTTCATCCCCCACGGAAGGCGAAAATCGGGGATCTAGCCCAAACACGTCGTCTTCTATCGTCGGCCAGAACTCTTCGCAAAATTTCCGAACGGGCCCCGCGGTACGAACCTGCTACCATTTAATTCTGACTACCTTGTCATTCTAATTACTGATGATATTGGCAGTCCTCCGAGACAGGGCCGTCTACCCCGAGATTCCCAGCCAGTGGGAACATGATCACCAGCGGCCAGCTTTTTCGCATCCAACGATACCTCAGGCACCCCGGACTCGACCTCCCAGCGGACGTCATCACTTACAGAAATGCCGACTTAGCCATTGCTCTGGGCGCCTGTGATGACAACTTGGATCTGAAGGGCCCCGATGTTTGCGTGCCGGAGGCACAGATGCCCCGCCACGTGTCTGGCCGCGTCGAAAGGGTTTTTTCCGCAGCGTTCAGTGTACTGTACAACCAAAAGGACATGGACCCAACGATGCCATTGATGTGGCAGCAGGTTCAGATGATTCTCGGAAAAGCCAAGCCCATCTAGAAGACGAAAGTTATGCCTGAGCAGATCCGTGAGCTTGTGGACATTTATGTGGCCGCCCGCGAAAGACATCTCGGCGACCCAACAGAGACGAAGGGCGACCACAGCCAGAGGAGGTTCCTCGAAACTGTTGACAAGTGGATAGCGATTACGAAGGATCGAGGTGCGTTTTCGGATGAGCTTACGTTCCCAGCCAAGACGCGATGGGCTATCGCAAGCGATCCGCTCCATTCACGATGGAAAGAATCGACAAAGAGACAGTTGGTTGAGGAAAGCAGGGAGGAAGACCGGAAGTGGAAAGCGCAGAAGGAGACGGAGCGGGAGGAGAGGGCGCTCAAAGGAAAAAGGCAAAAGGTGGAGAGAAAGCAAGAGGAGAGGGACCCGAAGGACAGAGAGCGACAAGAGAGGGAGCAAAGAGATAGGGAGCACAATGAGAGGGGACTGATAAGAAAACAGCAGCAAGTAGATATAGTTCGGGAGAAAGGGGAGCTCAAAGAGAAACGGCAGAAGTTAGAGAAAAAGCGGAAAGAGATAGACAAAGCACTGAAATGGAGGGAGCAAAAGGAAAAAGACCAGGAGCGGAGATTGCAGAAAGAACGAGAGCAACGGGAAGAAGAACAGAAGGAGAGAGAGAAAAAGAAGAGAAATAAAAAGACGCGGAAGCGGAGAGAGGAGAGGCGGAGAGCGTTGGAGAGGCTGAAGAATGCCGAGGTCAAGAATGAGGAGAGACATCAAGGGCACAGAGGGGGGGAGTAGGAAGAGGAAGAGAAGGTACGGCAACGTCCGGACTTCTGGAGTCGTCATCAACCAGCAAGCCGTTCATCGCATGCTTCCGAAAGCTTCGAAGATGTCCGCTCAAGCCACCAACCATAGATACGCCCTCGCAACGTCGATTGGAAGCAGAAAACGCGGTGAGTGATGCGTCGTAGAGTATCATACTATGAGAGGCGACGCGGGGAATGACGAGCGGCTTGGTGTTATCTATTCACTGAGCACATCAGACGTTGTTGGATTGCAAATGAATCACAGCACCTCACCGAAGAACTCCTCTCCGGTGAAGTGATGGAATGGTAGTTTAGAAGCATAAATAGCACGTGGAAACCCCAAATCGAGCATTTTCTTTTCTCAAACAAACACTTACAACGTAAACCAAGCATCATACCATTCAAGAACAAATCGGAGTTTTGACAACCCAGACTCTCGACAACATGGCAAACACTCCCTCTCCAGGAGCACCCTTTCTCCCCAAGCCTGCGCCCAAGCCGGGCCCGCCTCCCAAGCCGACTCCCCAGCCTCTGCCTCCGACCAAGTAAAGATCCGTCATGTTTGGCCTGGGAAAGGTGTAACGAACGGAGGTTGGACATGGCGAAGGCGTAGAAAATAGACAACCTTCGGTAGTTTCATAGTATTCAATTGATTAGTCCATTCGAGTTCATTGCGTCTTCAGACCGCTACTACATGGGATGCAGCTGTTTTTGTTTGATGCATTGCGTCGTGGGCAAGCCGGAGCCAGGTGTTTTGCGCAACGGCTTCAAATAAAACTCCTTGGTAACGGCTATCGTCATGGCTAGCCGACAGATTACTTTGACACAAGACGAGTTTGCTGGGAGGGCGCGGAATTCTCTCGTCATTCCGATTCAGCTTGCAGCTCTGCATTGCCCAATCAACCACTGCTAAAACTGTCACTGCACGAACACAACATAGAGCAGTCTTTCTCGACCTTATGCTTTAAATGAGGCTGTTCAATCCACGGCAATAATCATTTCAGTGCAGTTGTTTTCCTTCATTGTTCCTCTTGTAGTCTTTCGCGCTATTGTTGCCTACCTCCTCCCCCTGCCGAGTCTAGGCCGACCTTTGAGTTCGGCGTTACGCTTGCCAGGACCCAAGTATTGCTGAACACCTATCTGAGTCATCTGACGAACGTAGGTCGAGGGGAGAGGTTAGAAAACGCTACCTTTACTTCCCACCGCATGACGACATCGAATGCCGTCGACCTAGAGTAGCTCCCGTGGCAGATTGCACAAATGAGCGAGCTGCCGGGTATCCCCAAGCAGCAGCCCGAATATTGTACCATGTCCGCCGGTATAAGACAACATCAAGACCATTTTAATGACGACTGGCAGGGCAGGAGCAACACATTTTCGCAAGAGTTCTCATTGGATCTACTCCGCCAGCATCGACTTACCAATTCACAAGACAACTGATAGAACTGCTCATGTGGGAGCGAAGCGACGGAGACTTTAGAAGCATGTTCTCATTGCAAGTACCTCAGAAGCAAGGCCCACGTTGCAGGGAGAAGTACTGCTGATGATTGGAGGGTTGTACGAGGGAACGCGATTGGAAATTTCACCTGGAAGCGCTTGTTGTGGCTGGGTGCCTTGCGCCCCAGGCACCCGCCTACCTACTTAAGGGGGCTGACTGCCCAAATTCGCAACCCAATGTGAGAGGACGAGGTATCGTGCCGTAGGTTTCGGAGTGGTAGCGCGCCCACGAAGTACATAACCCGATCGGGCCCTCATAGTCCCCCCTCGCTAAGAGCGAGAAGGCCAGGGTTCAACTCAGGGTAGTGGCGACACCCCAATCTTTTTTTTTTTTTNAGGCCAGGGTTCAACTCAGGGTAGTGGCGACACCCCAATCTTTTTTTTTTTTTACCTGTTTTTCACCTGACAGAAGCTTTAGACAAACATGTCAGACTCCTTCCTCACCGTGCTTCGTGTAAAATCTGAAAGACTTTTTGTTGGTATAATGATGGATATCCCTACATCTTAGGAGGAGTTTTGCTAGCTGGGCATTGTCAGTCAGCTATCCAGGCAGTTCCCCTATCCACGCGTATGATCCATACACTAAAGCGACCATATTTCTTGTGTAATCGCTTTCGTCTCCACTATCATCGCCATCGCTATTGCCTATCGTCATCGTCGTCTATCGTCGTCGGCTATCGTCGTCGGCTGTTGTCTTCTGTCTCCTACATCATGTATGGCACATGCGCCTTTACCATCTCGGTTCGTCATGGCTCTTTCTGTCCTGGATATATTTTCTCACCTTCGGTAGCGGTGCTCCACTTTGACTGACCTGAATACGGGCTATGCTCTCGTTTCTCTGTTCACCCCATGTGCAGAGCCTCACGCTGGGAAGCTGGGCGGTGGCCCCACTCATTCATCACCTCTTTCCCGCTCAACTCGAATTTCACACGGACGAAAGTTTTCTTTCCTAAACTTCTCCTCGCTCTCCAACGCGATATTGAGGGTCACAGTGTCTTGCGAAGAGCGTCACATCCTCAGGTAAGTCATCCTTTTTCACTCATCCGGACCACACGCACTGGTGGGACCATCACTGATGAAGATTTACAGAAGTCGTGGAGACTCCCACCTTCGCCATGGCCAAGTCGGACGGCCCGCTTCGCGATGCGATCCAAGTCGCCATCTGCCCCGATCAGAAGGCGCTAGCCCAAATACCCTTCATCGAGTTCATCATCGGCAACAATGGAATCGTCATTGTCAATCCGAAGACGCCGAGTCTGACTCTCTTCACCCGTCCCTTCAAGAACGATCCCGCCAACGCCACCAAGACGATCGCGCGCCGTGCTACCGAACTTCTCAATGCGTACTTTGCCGTCGTTGATGTCGCCCAGGAGAAGAATCTGAAGGCAGCGCGGCAACCGAGCAAGGCCTGGGGCCTAGTTTTGGAGTATCTACGCACCAAGAACTGGCCTGCCTACTCGGTTACAGATGAGAAGATGCAGCTGGTCATGGTAGCCTTTGCGGATGCACGCAAGCGCTATCTCGACAACGGTGGCAGCGGAAAAACGGTTCCCCTCAAATCAAGCTTCTTCAAGACCCTCGCCGAGCTGCTGGACAAGTTCAATGATATGCGCTACCCTCCCGCTCTGCCTCTCGAGTCCCAGACCTCCGAAGACGCCACTGCTTCTACCGCGTCATCAACGCCAGCCGACCTCCCCTCCCGTCAAGCTAGCCCCGAAGGCACAGCAGACTCCCTCTTCGTTAGCAGTCCCGAGTCTGAAGACCGCACCGCTGCCTCTGGCCTCTCCAGCATGATGACAGTCTTACGTTCTCGCTTTTCGAGGAACTTCAGCAAGTGAAGGACGATTTGGAAGAGGCCAAGGCTAGAATCGTGGAGATCAAGGAGGAGAACAAGAAGGAGAAGGAGATGACAAAGCGCATGGTCTGGTGCCCTGTACTTCCTGCGATGAACGAGCTCCAGGGGCTGAAAGGTCTGCCGGTCTAGGGACCCGATGACTACGACAAGTTCCTCGTGGGCAAGTTTTGAGACGATTGTTGGTTTAAGTGTCTGCGAAGTTTACCTTCACATGTCTTGGGGATACGCAGGAATATGCAGAAGACAAGAATAAGGACTACGGTGATGTCAGAGGCAGAGGAAAAGCCGAACGATAGAACTTGTTTAGTGCAGCAAACAATCTTTTGAAGGCCGACTCGCTTGAAATTTTGTCTGACCTCCATCCACACACCTGATAGAGCGGACGCTGTTCTGTAGCCACAGTACGTCGTTGCTTGCCGCCCCGCCAGCGATGCTTGGAACGAACTCTCCTACCCATTTCAAAGTTTCCGTTTGAAATGACGCTCATCTCACAGAGTCTGGAAGCATGCGGGGGAGCCCATGCGCGCTGATTCCAATGAGCCTTGACAGATTAGATAAGCATCAGCGCGCCTTCCGTTGTTTAAGTGTCTAACAAGGCGGCAGGAGAGAGGTGAAGTTGAATAAAGTGGGTCCTGAACAACAGCTGCCGGTCTGAGCTAATGGGAGCCACCGCGATCGTGATGTGGCCCGGGAGCTGAGATCGAGGACCCACAACACCACGATCGCTCGCTCCGGCGCAGCAGGTGTTATCTATTGAAATCGTACGTCTTACTTCCGTCGATGTTGGTGGTCGAACGGTTTACTGTTCGTCTTCCTTCGGAAGCTATCCGGCCTTCTCGGGGTGGGACTTTCAATACTCCTAAATGCTGGTTTCACTTGGGTCTAATGCCTTGAGTCGCTCGTTTTGACTTTTGCATTTTCTGATTTTTGCGTCCAGAGGTACTTTTGTGTTGTTTTTTTTCAAAGTTTTATAGGCCTTGGTTGGGTTGAAATATGTGTGTATATTCAGCTCTCTTGCACAGCATATTCACTTGCTTTGTGGTTTGCTGCGGGGAGCCAACCGCTCAATGTCAAATCAGACCGAGTGTGGAAGGAAGTCAGGCCGTGGCATCATTGTTGGGACTTGCGTTTATCTCGCGATATTATGGAAGTCCTCTCACTGCACGGTCTTCTGCCCTTCGTACGTGTCGAAGGCTGAAGGCTCTTGCAGATGCGAAGACGTCACAACGAGTGTGTCTGAGGCTGTCGGTCTGTCAATACTTGCGAGATCTCAGCGTCGCTGCACCGGTGCAAAGTAGGCCCTTCAACTGGTACAGGGTAAGGAGGGGCACGGGACTGTTCTCATTGTTCGAAACTACGACAGGAATAACTCAAAGATACCTGCCTATCTGACCAGCCAAGAGCTATAGTAGCTCTCGAAAACATCCAACCCTCAATGCAATCACATGACCTCTTGACGGCAGTGGAACGCGTCACGTGTGGTTGCCGACAAAAAGCCTCACTCTGGTCATTGCCGTCCTTCTTGCCGTCCTTGCCCTCATGATCCCTGCTCTAGATCGACTTGTGCTTGTCGGCTCGGCAAGCAAGACTGGCGACAAAGAAGCCTTCCTCGTAGCCCTCGGCAAAGCCTTGGGAGAAGGCCTCCACCATGGCGCGCTCGTGCTTCTTGTTCTTGGCGCGAAGGAAAGCTCGCAGGTGCTTCTTCACGTGCTGAATGTTGACAGTGGTGTCGTTGTCACCACTGCAATTGCCACTTCGAATGTAGTTGTCGATCTCGCGGTCGATCTTAGACTTGCGGCTGCCTTGCTCCTCCTCCATCGGGACACCCTTCACATTTTCGATCGCGATCTCCTAATCAGCGACTGCCATGTAAAGACGGTGCACAAGGTTGGCCTCCGGAGTGTCCATGAGGGGCTTGGACAGGAGAACTTCAGCTACCTGGGGGTCTTGGCGGCCAAACTCGTTCCAGGCAGAATGGTACTTGGCGACGATGACGGGGCCAGCGGCCAGAAGAGACGGGTCGGCGTTCTTGAAAGTCAAGTCGTCATTGAGGCTGATGGTCTTGATGAGATCCCAGAACTCGGGAGACTGAGTACCTATTCCGGGGTTCTCGGAAGCCACGTCATTGGCAGCTTCAAAGATCATGGCGAGTCTGAGGGCGACGTTCTTCTTCGACGTATCGTACGGGCGCTCGCGAGGATCAAGGTGAAGGAGACGAAGAGCGGCATGCTCATGATCGGCAAAGACAAATTCATTGTCGAAGGTAAAGCCGGCTTGGCGCAGGGATGCATCGATCTCGGTGAGGGCGGCGGCTGAAAGGCTGGGCCGGAGGCGCGGGTGGTCAGCGTCGCTGGGCTGGCGTTTGTGCTTCGACATCGTGACGGCTCTTGGATTTGGACGAAATCAATGGTCTGTATATTTCCTTAGCGCAAGAACTTTCATCCGGCAGTGTTTGCCAACCTTTCAAGACAATCGGGAGTCGGGATGGACTGGATGCGAACACCGGACGATCGGTTTGTGTGTCGCGACGGTGTTGAAGGAGTGAGAGATGGAAGTGTAAGGCGCCTGAGACGGGGTGGGAAAAGTAGAGCCCGGACTGGGTCACGTGAGAGGTGAGATTGGAATTTCTCGCTACACCGCTTTTGTAATTATTATAACTTCCTGTGGTGACCATCCGAAACCTGAAGGGCGATGGGTGAGAGACTGAACGCCTGCACATTCACCGGGACTCATGTGGGTGCATCGGCCTCGTTGGCGTTCACCTCCACGACTTGGTGAGGCCCGTGTCCCCACCTCCGCTGCCTCGGCCAACCTACGGACAACACTCCAAAGGCATTCAAGGACCGGAAGAGCTTGGTTTTGAAGTAAGGCAATGCATTCCTCTGTTTGGTCTTCTGATTGTTCCCTAGCCGAAACTTAATCGTGGTGTCTAAAATCATACCTACATCCAAAGCGAAATCAAGTGTAAATACACAGCAAGTGTTGATTGCAATTTGCGAACCCAACAAGACAACCGAACTGGCTCCCCGTTAACCTGATTTCATCGTTGCGGCAGTGCTTCAGTCGGTGGGATCATAGTGAACTATGTACTTCCAGAGCTCCATGCGAACCGGTCCATTGGCACTACCGGCACTGATCTCAAGTGCAGCGCAAATTCGCCGCATGTCGTTGTCTGCGAGTCATTAACTTTTGCGAAAGCGAACTGTCAGGAATGGATTCTTACGGCTCATGGACCAAAACGCAGCTGCGGTGGCAGGAAAGTTATGGATGGGGTCGCCGGTCTCAAGATTGCGCATCGGACGCAATTGAGCCGACGGGTTCGCCTCAAGAGATACTTGGTTCTCTCGTGCAAGCTCTGCATTGAGGATACTAAAAGGTCAGCTTGGTGTCCAGCAAGGGCTTCTTCTACAGCAACAAACCTTGCAGCAATGGTACGCCGAAGCAGTTTGATTTGATTCTCGACGGCGCCGACTCTGAGAACAAGGAGTTTGTAGTGAGGGAGTGGAACGAGGCATCTGACAACGGTGTCCTTTGCCTTTGCAATGGATTTGAGAGCGTTCAAGAGCTCATCAGAGATGGATCTGGAGTCTGTGTCGGAAACCATAACGATCTTTGCGGCTTGGCCGGCTGCTGCCAGGGTTGCGAGATAATCAGCAAGTTTGAATAAGTCTCCGTGTCTGGGGTTGGATCTCTCGGCTTGGAGGTTGACTGTGCTTGTCATATCGAGGCTGTGGAATGTGAAGCAAGAAACGGCACTGTCTGCGGCGACTGCATCCGCCTTTATAGAAGTCAGAAGAGGTTCAACAATCTTGCGTTCAAGCAGCTATGACAGCATTTCGAATTTCTAGACATTATGGAAAGCCACAGTTCTCTTTTGTCAACTCACTATCAGACTTGTCATGCGTGTAAATCGGCGTCTCCAGACAAACCATCTCAGGAGTGTAAGCTTCAAAAAGTCTCGGAGCTCAGCGAGAAGACGACGTTTGATGTTGATTTGTCTCAATTTGGTGCTCGCTACGTCTTTTCAACCGACTTTGAGGGGGCAGCCGACATATAAACAAACAAGAACAAAGACTTGTTCTCACGTCACCAAAGGCATCTGACTCTAGAAAGTAGCAAGCAGCGTCAGGGAAAATGACAACTGATAAATATCACATGAACTTCATAGTTGCGTCGTAGTCACTCGTTCCAAACCAACACACGAACATAGCAGGATAGTTGCCTCTAATTGGCATCAGCTCGGACCCGAACGCCAGCATGGAAAACACGTCCAGGGAGCAAGGCATTCCGACGTTCTTTGGCTGCAAGTCAATACAAGACGCTCCAAGAAACATCGGGACGCATTGGTCTTGAACCTAAGCGATGAATCTCATTGAATAGCAAGAGTCCTCCAGAAGGCGTTGGTGAGATGCGGAACAGACCGCCTCCCCGCAGTTCTGACACGATGTTGACGGGATGTCGTCGAAAAAAGGCGAATACGTCCGGCGGTCATTTGCCGATTCCCGCTAGAGGCTGCTGCCTGCCCAGGGCTCCACTCGCCGTTGAAGACCCCGGTCTTTGCGTGCCGCTGCCGCTCACGTTCCAACCAGCGAACTGCCGACCTGTTTTTGTTCCTGCGTAAGCGCGTCGAAACCGAACATCGCATGGACTTCACACCTCAATTCAGACAAACTCATCGCCACAACGCCACGAGTCTCTTCAACTTCCTGCCCAAGTTCATCCATTCCTCATCGTCCGAACCGAGCATTTAGCAACGGTGGGCCAACGAACAAGGGTGTATCGACCAATGCAACCCTATCTCCGCCCCTTGAAGGCTGATCGCGCGAAGTACGAAAATCACTGGACCCGAGCAATCTGCAGAATGGAGTCTGTCAACAGGGATCGCCCGCCCGCACCCGACCCGATCGAACGGTTGATTCGCCCACCGCCGAGCCTCGCGAGGATTTAAACAACAGTCGAGTCCCGCCCAACTGCACCTGATACCTCCGTTCGGTCATCCCTCTCGCGCCTCCCACCACTTCCGCCAAGATGGTCCGCTTGTCCCTCACCACCATCCTAGCCGCCGCCGGCATGGCCCAGGGCCTCGCCTCGGGCAACTGCACCGGCGTCAACGCTATCAGCACCAAGTGCGCCTCCAAGGAGACCGCGCACACCCGCGACTTCTTCTACGTCGGTGGCCGCTACATCGAGACGTCCACCGGCAACGTCACGGTCGACCAGCTCTACGTCGAGAAGCTCGTCCCCGTCTCCGCCGGTCGCGCGCGCCGTCGCGGTGTCGCCGCTGCCAAGCCTATGGTTTTCTTCCATGGCGGCGGTACTTCAGGTGTTACCTGGCTCAACACACCCGACAACCGCCCCGGCTGGGCCTCATACTTCTTGCAGCAGGGACACACCGTTTATCTCGTCGACGTTGCTGCCGTTGGTCGCTCGTCCGAGAACAACCTGGACAACTTCACGATGATCGCGGGCACTGCGGCCGAAGGCATCCAGAGAGGTTTTACGGTCCCGGAAGTGTACAACACCTACCCGCAGGCCTACCTGCATACTCAGTGGCCCGGTACGGGCCTGAAGGGTGACCCGACATTCGAGCAGTTCGCCAAGACCATCATTCCTCTGACGAGGAGCTGGGAGCCCCAGGAATATGCCCTCCGCGCCTCCGGCTGCGAACTGCTGTCACTGTTGGGCGAGAAGGCGTACCTCGTATCCCACTCCATTGGAGCCCGCGCGCCGATTCTGCTGTCCAACGACTGCCCGCAGTACATCGCCGCCAACATCAATCTCGAGGGTACCACGATCCCGTTCTGGTCCTACAACATTACCCTGGGCGGCACGCCCACGAACCCGTGGGGCTTGACCAACACCCCCATCGACTATGACCCTCCGATTGCAAGCGCCGATGAGCTCGAGACCGTTGTCGTTGGCAATGAGACCCTGGCCCTGAGGAGCTGCCACATGCAGAAGGAGCCCGCGCGGAAGCTGCCCAAGATCGCGAGTGTATCCTACTTGATGGTCACAGGCGAGGCGAGTGTTCACATTACGTATGACCACTGCCTGGTCAACTATTTGAAGCAGGTCGGCGGCAGCCCGGAGTGGATCAAGCTCGGCGAAATTGGAATCAAGGGCAACGGGCACTTCATGCATATCGAGAAGAACAGCCTGGAGATTGCCGAGGTTGTGAATGATTGGATCTTGGAGAAGGAGAGCCAGTAAAAAGTAATAATAGTAATACATCTCCGTCCATTTTTCAGCCCACAGCAATGACTCGGCTCCAAATACCAGGGCCCCAATCATGACCGAAAGTGTCTCGCTTTCCCCCTAAACCTGCTGTGCTATGCTCGCAGGCAGTCCCTAAGAGGGGAGGTTAGTTTCATTGAGCAGCGTAATCCAGTGCGAATTTTGTTGTTCTCTCAAAATCGGGTGACCTTTAGACGATTTTCGTAAGATGCGTTTCCTTCCAGATATCTCGATTGTTGCTGCTGCTGATTATGTGTCAGTTCCGGCAAAGTCCTTGGATAAAACGATTGAGTCATCAAGAACAAAGACGCTGTACAAAACCATACCTTACTGATGTCCACGCCCAGGAATGTTCCACTGGGATGAGCTCTCTCGGGCCAAAAGCTCGCCGTTGAAGTCTCTGACAGCATCAAGCTCAGTCCGTACAGTCTGCTTCTCGCTCTCGAGCTGGTGGATCTTCTTAGCCATACGAAGATTGTCCTCCGCCAATTCATCCTCAAGGTCGCTGGTAATTTTGCCCATCAGCGGCGCCATCAGGTCAGCTTCGCCATCTTCGATTCTCAACGATCGCATCATCTTCTCGTCTGCGGAGCCGTGGTTGGCAAGGTGGACGGCGGTCGCAGTAGGTATGGATACGCACGGAATTCCCAAAGCCGCGGCTACAGCGCTGTTGCCAGGGATGAGAACCTTGTTACCATCGGTTGTGAGATCGAGCCACTCGTCAACGGCGGCCCAGAGTCGGATGTAAAGGGGCTCTTCATGGCGTGCCATCGGAGGAAGCTCCATCGGGTTGGCAAGGAAGCTGCGTCGGCCCGCGCCAAAGACCTCGATGCCGTAGGAGAAGCCCTTCTTCCCATCATCCTCTCTCATAACTTCCCAAACACTGTCTTCCGAAGACAGGCGACGCAGGATTCTCTTGAAAAGATCAGGCGTGAGGACCTTGCTTCGGTTGACCCTGCCAGTGACATGGCCAGGGGAACCCTTGGCTTCGGCGATACAAGCTTCGTAAAGATTGATGAGGCGTTGAGCGACAACGGTGCGGTCGGTACGCTTATGAATGTATGGATTGGCGTTAAGAACGATTCACCAATGCTTATGCTTGAAGCCGAAGACGGGCTGAGGGAGATGGAAGCCAGGCTGTG